TAGCGCTCAGGTGAGGGCGGGGGTAGGAGGGATCACATAGGGAATATGTTAGAATGTGCAAGGCCAGAATGAGTGGACACTGTGAGGCAGAGGAGGCAGCTTCATTCCGGAACAAACTAATTATAGGCAGCGTGGAACAGGTGGCATGAGGAACAACACCAACACAACGTGAAGGCAGACATAGACGGTGAGGTGTGGGAACTTTTAAAAGTGCAGACACAGCGACAGCCATTAAAAAACAACAACTATGAAGCAACTGAAAAGGGGCGAAGCAGAGATACGGTGTGAGGTCCGGAGGATCGATCTCAGGGCCGTTGACGAACGGCCGACTCCTAACATGCATCTCAGAGAGCGAGGAGGCTTGTTAGAGGAGCTTTTAGGCGAGGATATGCCGGAAGTCTTTCCGGCACCCGTGACATATTAAAGAGGCGTGACAACCAGGTGGGATAGTCTCAAACCACGGCAGGACTCAAATGTAACTTCCTTTTGAATTCATAAGTTGCAGATATTCAGACGTTCAGATGCACCATCAAACTTTCTGGCCTTCACCATTTCCCCTCGGAAGGCTCTGTTCTAACAGACATTTCACCTTGATAATACTTATGTTTTTATCTGGAATGAAGGCTGAATCCAATTCAACTGCTATAATCGTTACATGATGTTTAGTGCAAACAGCTGCTAACGACAAATTACTATTTAAAAAACAATCTTTTGCAATTAGCACTAATTTGTTGTATTTCACGTTGACGTATAGACAGGAGTGCAATGTTCTTGTCACATTTTGAACTGAATTAAAAGTAAATATATAAGTTGACATGAACACTGTTATGCTCATCTGACAGAAATCATAGAATACAGTGTTATAATGAAACAATGGGACAGCTGATGCAGCTGTGACGCGCGTCATATTTAGTTGACGTCGCGTTAAAATGACGGATACGGGACGAGGACGTCTTATTTGTTAAATGCCAGTTGCTTCGTGTCTGCTCTCCTCATCACACATATTTCGTGGGAAGGGCTGAGAGGAGGCAAGGAAAGAAATCGAGGATGTACAAACTAGGAAATGAGAAAGACCTTCGGTCACAAGATGAGTTAGCGAAGCAGATTAAACAGCAACTGCAAAACTTGCATCATGCAAAGCAACAGTTTTATTCCAATTAAAAACAACAAAAAACACACCAGGTATTACAAATCAGTATTTGGCTGGAAGGAGAACCAGTGACCATAACATGCCATACACTGTAGTTTAGCTTGTTTTGTCAGAATTGTTCACCTACCTTTAAATTTGGAACGGATATTGGCCAGTTCTTTGTTTATCCTCTTAACCTCTGCCTCTTTACTTTTACCTGCAAACAGATGAAGACATTTGTTATGTTACGTAGTGCTGCGACCACCAATTTGAATACAATACTTCTTCCTTGTTTTCGCTGCTTTGCTTCTTTTTGTCGAGCTGAACCATAGATCAGTGTAGTATCAGATGATGACTTTTTGCATTGTCCCTAAATTAGTAGTAATAGTATTATCGCTATTATAAAGCCATATAATTTCAAGTTCTATTTGGAATAACTGTGTTTACGTTTTTTCCCCCTAATAACAAGATTATACATCATGATTATGGGACGTTTAAACTAATTTGTGATAATATCAGAGTGCAATGTGCTTGGATACATTTGGTACTCTGAGCAGCACGAGTCTGTGCATACTTCTATAATGCTTGATAAACACTTCGTGAGAAGGGAAATGTTGAGCAACGTATTTGGCAACAGTTCCGCCCTCTAGAAATACTCTTGAATGTGTAATATTTGTATGCGACTTTAAACTGACAGCTAGTTCCTCTGGAGGTCTCCGGCTTGGACGCTGAAACCCAATGAGAACGTTTAAGCGCGTGCTGGGCGGGTTTGAGGCCCACTTTAGGATAAAAAAACTGGGGCAAAAAACCACGTCAAACACACCACAGCTGCTCATCATTAAAACATGTGCACGTCCTCTTGACGCTAACGCCACCTGAAATAGTCCTCACAAGGACTAAACTGTCAGTTTAAAAACAACAGAATATGTGAATTGTGTGAGCGGCTTTTCGCAGGAACCTGTTTGTAAACTACAAACTTGAAACGCTCACTTCCAAAATACAAACGGCCGTTTAGACGTTATCTCCGGTTAGCCGTGCCGTCCACGCCCTTCGACGTGACGTTAGCAACTGGAAGCTAGCGGCTAACGTTGGTTAGCTCGTGTAGTGCTAGCCCAGCTGAGTGGTCGTCTAACCCCACTTTGATAAATTAAAGGTGCCATCGCGGCTAACGGGCAAAGGGACACGCTTTTCTGACGCGTTCTGGAAACCGCCGGTCGCGTAGCTAGTCAACATTGCACCAGCTAGCTTGTCACTAGCCTGACCAAGAGCGGTCTGTGAAGGTGATAAACAAAACTTACAGTTCCTGATGTCAGAGATGAACACGGCTAGGCCACGCATCCCATCGCCTTTAGAAACCGCAGGCATTTTGTCCACTCCCTGCTAATGGGGCACGTACTCTTTTATATTTCAGACAGTCTAGCTATGTAGAGTAACTTTGTTTCAAAGTTTGCTAAGGCAGCTCGTAAAGTGCTGTGTCCGATAGGGAGCCCCGATATGTGACGGAGACAGGAACCAGACAGGCTGCGGCCGCATTCCATATATCGCGTTTACGCCTACTACAACCTACAGGAGGGCCGCGTTCCGTACATGTGGTGTTTGTCAACCACGATAAAAACAGTATTGGTGGATAGTTAACCACATGTGCGATGGAAATGTAAGATAATGGCAACTGAGTACATTTGAACAATTTTTAAATATATAAATTATTGATAATATGTAGTTAAGATTACAGATGCTGTGTGAATGGACATAGCAGTTGTCTTAATTCCCTGAGCGTTTCTGAGAGCCTTGTACACGAGTGCTAGGATTAATTGATTTAGACAATCCCTTGATTGACACTTGAGACCCTCCTTGAATGCCTCAACAGCAACATTTTGGAGGGAAAAATATTTCAAAGAATTTGTCATTTGCAATCTTTACTTTGTTTGCACACTTACTTGCGTTTATTTGATATCACATGTAGTAGTGCAGAGTTGTGGAAACAATCGTCTCCTCTTTTAGTGGATTTGTTGATCAACTCCCAAACCAGCAACATAAAAGCTCATTTGTGTTTCATTTTTTTCCTAAACACTGATCAGTTCAGTGGTTTAGTGAAGGTTTATGTGTGTGTGTTCCAATAACCATACCTCCATTAATATGCCAGAAAAATATCTAGTATGTCGTAATACATAGTATATCAAATACAGTTTGCCACAAATACCAGGATGTACTGCGTCTGGTCACACTTTGCAGTATGCAAACAACTGGTGATGTCTGAGATGCCATATTTAATTCTGAGGAGAAAACACTGACTGGGCAGAATGTTCTGTGGTCCTGTGGGTCTAACTTCAAAGGAGTCAGATCCAAATATCTCAATCCAGATTCAAGTCTTTGACCCAACCACTGCTTCAGCAATAGATTCCAATTCCACGTATTGATCATCTCTCCATTGTTTGCAGTTTTGTCTTTGTCATTGCCTCAACACATGCTATTATTGGCATTTAGATATTGACAACTTTGCTTCGATTAATTTGTGTTCCTGATAGCACAAGTGTTCCTTTGACTTTCCTTTGCTCTTCCTCCTGAACTTATGATGAGCCATGACAAATGACTTTACAAGGGATTACGTAGTTAAGATAATTGATTGATCCAGTCACTGACCTGGTGCACACCCAGAGGCCAAACGCCTTTAAGTAAAGAAATACCAGAGCAGATTATTTCATTGGAACCTATTGAAGACCCAAACATATTAGTCACTACAACCCCATTAGGAATATTTAATTCGACTGTATGTCTTTAGTAAATTAGAGTTAGAAAACCTCCTGAACCCCCTCTACCTTTAATATTTTAATTCCCATGAAACATGGTGCAAAGTCATCAAACTGCCAGAAATGCTGTCCTTCTCATCTGGTCCTGTAGTCCTCCATCCTTCTCATTTGGTCCTGTAGTCCTCCATCCTTCTCATCTGGTCCTGTAATCCTCCATCCTTCTCATCTGGTCCTGTAGTCCTCCATCCTTCTCATCTGGTCCTGTAATCCTCCATCCTTCTCATCTGGTCCTGTAATCCTCCATCCTTCTCATCTGGTCCTGTAGTCCTCCATCCTTCTCATCTGGTCCTGTAGTCCTCCATCCTTCTCATCTGGTCCTGTAGTCATAATAATTAATAAATAATAAATAATAATTCAAACCACAGTGGCCACAGTAGAGCACAATGCAGCAAGACATACTTGAAATCATAAAGGGTTCATCCTCAATACATTTGTAATACATTTTTTTAAGACTCATGTCATGTTTCATATGTAAAAGAGGAAATGAAATTCCATAGAGAGTACCCAGTGGGACTCAAATCATCCTGAGACGGAATATTCAGATCATTTTCTTAAGTAAAAGTTACAATGACACAAATTTTAAAATACAAGCCCTGCATTCAAAACAAATACCTATGTGGGCATGTGTGTCATCTAATCTATAAGAATGCATCATATTTTATATTTCATAAGCACATTTTGTACGTAAAATTGAAGTGATTAGTAAATATTCCTGGCAAATAAATGTAGTGGAGTACAAAGTACAATCTTTGCCTTTGATATGTAGTGAAGAGGGAGTAGAAGTTAATTGGTTAAAAATCGACTGGACACAAGTCCATGTACTGTTTAAAACTTTCCACACTGAATAAATGAGTCTCTGAATAATATGATGGTGGTGATAATGATTTGGTCCGTTATACAGTACTTTATGCAAATATATTGAGCTTTTATTTGGAACTGCATGCATGTGCAATTTAGCAGCGCCTAGTGATGGAGAAGGGCAACTACATCTAAAGTTAATACAAGGAAAACCTTTTAGCAACCTTTCTATCATTTCTTCTTTTTTCTTAAAAGATACATTTAAATCTGAAAAATCTAGAAGGTGATCATGCCTTATGTAGTACGTCAGTCTTCATGAGAAAGATACTGGCATACGGTTTCAGGAGGCAGTCAAACATTCAAATATATTTGAATACAGTAAACGGGGAAGTAAGCCAGAGGGAAAACAAGAAAACACTGTATTATAAATAACATTATTGCATACTTGGGACACACAATTAGCTGAACCAAAATGGCAGCGAGTATAAGAACGAGGTAAGCGGGGCTTAACCTGTGATTCTATCAGCTATGGTTATACATATTGGTCCCCCACCACCCTGGTATTTTGCCAACCCATCATGCATTGAGCAAGAGACAGATGCACCCTGGATAGGTCACCAGTCTAGGTCACCTGCAGTGAGAGTGCAACTAATCTCTTGCTAAAAGTACGGTATGAATCCGACTCTGACCGCAATACCAGTTGTCTAAATCTTACCTGCCACAACCACAAAGGGCCTGGGCTCTCTAATTGTGTAAACAGAGAGCAGATGGATCGCACTCTGAGATCGCTTTTCATTAAGCTTCTCAAAAGGAGAGCTGCACCGATGGTCAGATTTACCTCTCAGAAAAAAAGAAGAAAAAAACCTCCTGGCTGCTGATAACTTGTTACTAAAGTGAACAAATCTGCACCAGTGATTCTCTTGTCAAGAGGGTTGCTGAAGGTCATATCCGGCTGTAAATGTGTTTAAATGCACCAGGTCTCGTATGGAGGCCTCCTAGAGACAGGCTACCGTTTACAGACAAAAATTAAAGAACCAGATGGAGACTTCCTGTCTCTTGCTGTAATTACAATTACTCATCATATAGATGGATAACTGCGTGGGCGAAGCGGGCATGTGCCAGGGCCCTGGAGTGAAGATGTGGGGGGGTCCTTGGCCGTAGAAGAAAGGCCAAGGGACCTCCCACCCCTTCTTATATGGGAGTAGGCCGAAATAAAAATGTTGTGACGCAAAGTAGCCGATTCAATCATTTTCTGAAGGGAAAATATGTGTCAACTGAGATTTCAACATGGAAAAGAAAACTTGTTTGAGTCAGCTAAGCAAAAAAAATAAAATATAGACCTGCAAGACCTCTTAGCTATGGCAACGGCGGCACATGCTGCAGCTGGTAGCTCCCATGAATTTCTCTACATTTTCGTCCTTTGTTGTTGTTTTCTTCGTGTTTATCAGTAATGACATATGACAGAATACATTCATCAACATCTGAAAAGGAAGTGGGATTAAGTGCAGGGGACTTTGAGACGACCAACCAGCCAGACCTGCCGGACCAAACGCCACCAACCTGGCCTTGGGAGGAGAGGGAGGAGAGCAGAGATAGGAGCTAAGCTAACCTAGCTATAGGACCTGAGGCTACTCCACTACCCAGCATGCTCCTGGCTGTCTGATGCCCCGTCGCAGGAAAATAAGATGGATGGAAGCAGCGGGAGGTCGGTGACTGTTGAGCCCGGCAGGACAGAGAGCAGGACTCCGGTGGGACGAGAGAAGCTGGACTCTGTGTTTACATCATGATGCTTGGTGCTCAAACAGTCAGAGTTGATGGACAATGTATTTTTCCTCATGTTGAATTTTGAAGATGTCAACCATATTATCGGCCCAGAGAAGAGTTTGTTTTGTCGCAGCTGTTTTAAATTTTAAAAAGCACTACAGGAATATACTACTGTTTTTGTTTGGTTTGTCATGTGTTTGTTGCGTTACAAATGAGCTACAACTGAAATTCGTTGCCCATCCCTGTGCTGCTTAATTACAATTAACTTAAGGATCCTTGAATCCTTGAATCGGGGTCCAAGCACCCAACTCAACAAAAGGCACATCATCTCAGGGCAGGAGGACGAGGCCACTGCTGAATACTGAAGACTTAGCTGCTCATTGTGCATTTGTTCGTATGCTTTGACAGCCTCAGATGCCATGAATTGTCTCCTAGTTCAGGTACAACCTAAAATATGTTAAAATTAAGCTATTTTTCCCCATTCACTGATTTGTTATTCACTATACAAAGAAAACTTCTGAGCCATATCTATTGTCTCCACACTAGAATACGCAATATGTGGAGAGGGATATTATGAAATAATATGACCAGGAATTACACAGAAGTCACGAGTGTAGTGCGTTAAATACAATGAAGGAATGAATACACATTTCTGAAAGTTGAGTGGCAACAGCGGATTGTTTAAAGGTTCCCCGTGGAGTGTTATGAGTGTTAAGATATCTACAGAAGTCCTGTCACTGTTAACGATATACGTCTTCTGCTGTCACTGCAGGAAAGAATAAATGTAGCTTTCTTTCTTTTGGTAATTTTAACCAAACAAGTACACAAGTCAAAACAAATCAAGAATATTCTAAATGTACATTTGGTTTGACTTTAATAAGATTAAGATCAAAAATAAGAGCGTCTATAATGCATATTGTGACTATAGAGTTGTGCAGGGATATTTTTTTCTTTTTTTTCCCTCGACAAAAAGCCAGTGGGATTGTTCCATTGGATTAGTTAGTGAAACCAACAACACCACTCTGGCATGTCTTCACGTCACCGCCACTAAGCTGAAGGAGGACTAGAGTTCGGCATGATGACATTCAGGAGTCTCACTTGGCCACGCCTTTTTAAAGAAAAATCACTACAGGAGTATTTAGTGACATATCATATTGTCGAACAAAACGTTAAAATATGTTAAATTTGCGTTAATCCCAGATCTTATTTCAGGCATCTAAAAAAAAACGTTGAAAAGACCCATTGACTTTGATGCTAGGGATCCGGAGGTGCAAAAATGCTGAGGACTTTAGGACTCATTCCTGCAGAACTCTATTCAAGAACTAAGTCTGTGTGGCCTGCCCTCCTCTGACATCCCTGTGCTTCAGAAACCCACGTTCATCGTGTGCGAGCACATCACGATGCCACGTCCTCAGTCTGACTCATGTAACAGCCGATACTGCTGGGAACAGTTCTTTGAAGCAAGCACATGGCTTTACTCGTCTCTTGAACGCCGGGAATCGACGCCCTTTTGTGATCAATTAGAAATACAGTTTATAGGCAGGTCTGACGTGTGTGAAGCTGTTCAGGGAGAATGTCTGATTCACTCATTAGTCCGGGGTTTATTTTGCGATAGGGGAAACCTCATTAATTTCACCCCTAATGTGGCTACCGATGGTGAGAGCTCGTAAACATGTTGGTTGAACATAATAGCAACATCGTTAACACATTTTAAGGAGTCACCCACTAAAGCTGTTACGGTTTACTTGGTAACAAAAAACAACCACAGATGCACAGACTGCAATTTCTTTGGCCCATTCCGATATCAGATTGTCTAAAAGTCTGATTCGACGATTGAGATTTTCTTTCTACAAACTTTCATTGACATTAAGGCTCCAGACGAACCTTTTTTTACCAACATCCCGGAACCATCCAAAAAAATTTTTCAACCGTCTTGAATTTCTAAATGTTATCCTTTTATTTTGTTACTGTCATCTATATTAGTTAGTTGCATTAAGACACAATTTAAATCACTGGAATATACGTTATTGTATTTTTATTTAAATAATTGCTTTAATTTTTGTTTTAATCCAAGCATTAGTAGTACTAATGAAGTATTATAAGCAGTTTACAGCTAGCGTTAAGAAGTTAAACACGTCATAATTCCCTCTCCAATACCTATTTTATATTGCCGTGAAAACATCTCCTTTAAACTGTATCTATTCAAGTTTCTCAACAGAAAAAAAACATTTTTCATTTGAACACGTCACGCTTAAAATTAACCTTTGCTCAATACTCATTTTACTGATTAGTACTAAGCAGTCACTGTGAATACGAATTACATTATCATAAGTGATATCAGAAATATCTGATGAAGTTCGTTGTTGAAAATGTTTTATGGATGCTCCTCCGCGGCTTATTTTGGACCTGGAACGTTATCGTCTGTGCTGCTGTGTTCCAAAGTAAAACTATAATGTGACTAAAAATTGGAAATATGAGACCGATCGGTCGCCGGTTGTGGCCGATCAGCTGAAAACCGTCCGGCTTAGATCAGTGCATCTCTATAGAGAACTTATTAAGTGAAGCGACACACAGTTTCAATCAGTATGGATAGGGGCATGGGGACAAAAATCACTTCCTTTTTTAAGGAATTGACCAACATTGACCAACAGAATGTACAATCACACTCAACAATCCTCGATGTTGCCTACAACTTTGCAAAACTTTACATGTAAGTGAAATGCAAAAATTGAAGATGCAACTATAAGTGACAATGTGCAAGCAAGGCTTGGTCTCTCAGCCTTCCTCCCTAGTTCATCGAGACAGCAACCTGGAATTATGCCACACATAAAAAATACATTAGGCTGATCAAAACTAATGATTGGAACAAGTGTCTAATAAGTCATCCTTTACAAAGGTCTCATATTTTCTAACTAATGATATCATTAATGGTTTGTAAAATAAAATTCCCTCATAGGGCTTCAATTAGAACAACTTTTATTCATCATTCATCATCATTTGTCATTCATGAAGGGTCAAGAGTTCTCACTTTCAAATAAACCCTAAACCTTGAACCACATATTTGGAGACGCCACTCTCTGCTGTGACCGGACTGACCGGAGCTTCTTTTACATTCCTCCCTCGGTGGTTGAGTTTATCTCTTTCCTCGGGAGCTCGTAACTTTGGAAAAAGGAAATGTGTTATGTGTGTATATAAAGATTCTTTTTCTACTAACTTATAATTCAATAACTGCTTCACAGCCTCATAATGTAGCAGCGTGGACAGTAAATAAGAAGTGGACGTATAGTCGTCGTGACGACACCCATTGATTTGTGGACTGCAGTTGTGAAGCCTTAAGTTTGGCATTTTTGGACTGTTGCTGAGTGAGGCACTGGCAGAGTAGCCGTATATGCCTTTGGTAGTGACCTGTCAATCACAGTAGACCCGCCCTAAAGCATACCCTGCTTTATGGTCTATTTGACTCTAAATTGACCATAATTTACTAAATGAACATCATGCTGTATTGAAGAAGACTTGAAACTAGTTATTGAGACCATAAACTCATGTTTACAATGTTTACTGAGATAATAAATCAAGTGAGATGTAGAGTCATTTTCTCATAGACTTCTATACAACCAGACTTCTTTTTGCAACCAGAGGAGTCGCCCCCTGATGGCCAGTAGAGAGAATGCAAGTTTAAGACACTTTCGCATTGGCTTCACTCTTCAGAACCCACAGTGTGTGTGCGTGTGTGTTTGTGTGTGTGTGTTTGTGTCAGGCCATGTGATGGATCTGCCCTAAAGTCAATAATGACTTGTACTAATCTCCCTCCTGCTGAAATAAATTGCTGCTCCCTCCCCTCCACTACAGCCTCATAAACACCACAGCATTTTACTCCGTGATACAGTACGGCTGGAAACTCACACTGGAGCTGATCTGGAAAGCCTTCTACTGCTAAAAGAGACGTCTTCCTTTCAGAGAACGCATCCAGTTTCAAGCTGAGCTGTAGCTTGGGCAGAATACACAAATTGACCAAGCAACAGAATAGCAGTTCTACTACTGATCTGGAGACAGGCATGTACGCCAAGAATTCCGAAGAACACGAGTCACGCAGAGAAGGGTCTTTTGACTCAGTTAATCCTGCTTATGAGGAGAAGCAGCTCAACAATGAAGTAAGTAACCCTGATAATGCTTGTGTTCTGTTTTTTCCAGTAGCGGTTTTAAGTAGATGTTACTTTGAGGTGACCTCCTGATTGGTTAGTTGACGACTAGAGCTGGCATGGCTCTGTGGTGGCCCATCAAAACTGTCAAATTAATATTTATTGTTATATTATTATTTCTCTGAAGTGAAAACAGAAATTAAGTCGCTTTTTGAAGACAAAAATAATGTCAACGTGTTTTTATATCACTGGTATTATTGGTAATGGTTTTTGATTATTAAAAGGAAGAAAAAAGGTATTTGGGGAAATATCAGAAGTGCCTTTTTCATCTCAATATCTGTGTTTGACAAGAGTGCCGGTGTCACACCGTAGGGAAAGAGAGACAGATTTGTTTTTTAAAGTTACGTTGTAGCTGACATGTCATGGGCAAAGTGTTGTTAGTGCTGAAGAGTTTGGACCACAGCAGCTCTCTAACCAGACTCAGATTACATTTGCAATATGTTTACATGATGTTTGATGTGCTGCAGCTGACCATCTAATTAGCCACTCAGCCCGCAAACTGGCATTGGCAGTATACATTTCCCCGGGGAATGTTTGTTGCCTTGATCAACAAGCTATCATGTGCAGGACAAGAGTGTCCATGTTTGTAAGTTAGATAAGAAGAAGACTTTAGCAGGAAAGCTAATGTGTTGTGGTTTAAATCTTTAAGATCTTTAAGATGTACGCCTTATCAAAAATAATTAAAATCAATGCAAAACTAGGGGGCGTCATCATGAAAACAAAAAAATTTAAAATTCTCTCTTTTGGTTCATGAATTTGTTTGTTGGTGATTTACAGAGCAGATATGTATGCTGTAGCAGACAAAACAAGCTGTTTAACCATACTTATATACAAGGTTGCTCACTGGGTTAAGAGGGTTGTCTGGTGAATTATATCTACAGAGTGAATATTCACAGCCCCTCTACAGTGATGAACTAAGATCCCAGGCTTCAAAATAAACCTCTCGACTGTGTTCAGACTGCAAGGTCAAAGGTTCGATCCTCGACTGGGACGTGTCACGTGTCGAAGTGTACCTGAGCAATACGCTGAACCCCAGGCTCCTCGGGCGCCTGTCATTGGCAGCCCACTGCTCCCTATATACAGGGATGGGTCAAATGCAGAGACAAATTCCCTTAAAGGATCAATATAGTATCATTAAAAAAAAAAATTTCTAATGGCTCTCAACATGGTGAAGGCTGAGCCGGCGGCTTGCATTCACCGTTAGCTGAAAAAAACAACTAAAAAACGATTCTTGGCCCTCATAAACATTAAATAATATTTTTAAGTAAAATGTAACTGAAATCAAACGTTTATTCATTCAAACACTTTACTTAATTTTACTTGACTGAATCATAAAGTGACGCTCTGCGTAAGGAAACGTCACTTCACCGACGTGATACGTGAACTCTGAGCGTGGACTTGGCATTTTAATCAGATTCTGACTGACTGAGCAGGACCAAGTTATAAGGTAAGTCCAATCATTTTACATTATAAGTAATATGTTATTTTAGAAGTATTTGTTTTACGAAGACGGATATGGTTTTTTTGGCAATTATATTTGAGAGGTTGGTGAATTTAGGTTAGCACGTGTCCGAGAATGCAGAATAGCCTGCTATGTGATTTAGCAGGAGCTAGCGGCTTTGGCGCCGGTTAGTATAGTTGCGCTGATAGTGAAATACGTCTCGCTTCATCGCAACGTTGCTTCCGAAGCAGACCTACGGTAGAGACCACTCTGCATGCCAAGCTGCTGCCGCTCAGGCTGCATGCGTCAATAGCTAACTTCCACCATGTGGCTAGTCTCATCATGGTTCGCCAGCACTTGCTATCTGGCTCAGCACTAGCTAGAAACACAGTTTTACGTGCTGACTCGCTTGACCGCCTGAAAGGTAACAACACTGGTTGTAGTGCACTGCGGGGATTGTCGCAACCGTCTGATACTAGGCTTCGTTTCACGATGCCCCGAGGTGGAACGCCCTTCTGCTACTAATAGTTAGGCTACCGCTGGTTATGCTAATGCCGCTCAGTCTGGGTCATTTGCTAACACAGGCTACCTAGCTACATCTTAACCGGCTGGCACCTGCTGCTCGAGCTCGGCACTAGCTAAACTGCTCGTTATACTGTGGTGGCCTGAAAATATAAATAAAATAAATGTCATGTTAACTTAAGATCATAATCCGATTAATTGCCAATGAATGTTAGGGTTTCATGTGCAGGGAATGTGATTTGGTGTATTGACAACAAATGACAAATAAATATGGAATAATATACAATAAAATATGTACAATGCAAGATCAGACAGACACCCCTCTGCAGCTGGTTATTTCTCATCCTGGTTGAAAACTAACCTTGTAATATTTTCCCATTACTTTCAGGTACAACACTATGGGGCCAAATCAACAAAGTAGCTCACATCTTGTCTAGGCAAGCTCTCAATTTAGGTGAGTAACATAACATATGATGAATTGCTTAAACATTGCAAGCTAAAACAATTCAAATTTTCAGATAAATGCAGAATTCATGCGTATAACCACTTTGCCGCTTCAAGCCACGTTCCTGGCACAGCTTGGCAAATACACAAGCAACATAATGACGGTGATCAGCAATAGAGGAGGAGCTGCTGGAAGGAAGAGCCGACTCCTCATGGCTCCGACAGCAAAGGCAAGTGCATTGAATGGTTGCGTTGTTTAGCCAAGTAAAATCTTTTGACAAAATAAAATCCTTGTAACACTGGTTTTAACACAGGTCCCATATCTTTGAAAACTTAGAATTTTTTTATATGCAGTTCCACAATTATTTTTTACAAATCTGTACAATTACTCTGGAGTGGGGTTTAAGAAGCCCTGACCTAAAACTGGAGATATTCTACATTCTAAGTTACTAGTGTGAAAAAGACTCATTTTGCCCAGGGACAAGTGTAATGTCTAATAATAATAATAATACATTTTATTTATATAGCACTTTTCATAAAACTCAAAGACACTTTACATTAAAATCATCATATATAAAAGCAATACACTAAAAACATGAAATACACAATAGTGGTCACACATTAAAAGCAGTTTTGAACAGGTGGGTTTTGATCTGTGATTTGAATATGGAAAGTTCAGTGCAGTCTCGGATGTGTTTGGGTCTCCCCAAACACATCCGGAGGGAGGGAGCAGATATGGAGAAGGCTCTGTCACCCCATGTCTGGTGCTTGGTCCTGAGTGGAAGAGACAGGAGGTTGGCATCAGAGGAGCAGAGCCGACGGGATGGAGTGTGGTGGTGAAGCAGGTCGGTGAGGTAGGAGGCGGCCTGATTGTGGAGGGCTTTATGAGTGAGGAGAAGGATTTTGTATTGGATCCGTTGTGGGACGGGGAGCCAGTGGAGGTTCTGGAGAACAGGGGTGATGTGGTCGCGGGAGCGGGTGTGGTTGAGCAGGCGAGCAGCAGAGTTCTGGAAGTCTAAAGGGCTTTTATGACTGACTCCTAGCAGGTAATACACATCAAGCAAGCAGGCAATATGTCTTTTGTTTCTCAAATCTGATAACTTAAACAGCGGGGCTTGAGTATCATTTATTAACTGACAAATAAACTATACCCACTGCACTGCTATGCTCAACGCTATAATGTTACTGCTGACTTCTCTCTCACTCAAGCAAATTGTTTTAATATTTAATAGCTAGACTGAATCTATATATTGCAGAATTTAATTATTTTCTAGTCAAAAAGAACATTTCAGATATCCACAATTACGTTCTTCTTAGGAAAAATTACCTCACTTTTGCCATTCATGTGTTTTGGGCTTTTTATTTTCAGATATCCATTATTGCATTTTTTGATAGTCTTACTAGGAAAACCTCACATTTCAAATATCTACAATCCAGTTGTTACTAGTCCTAACTGAAGTGAACCCTTTTGGAATAAAATGGCTTATTTTATTGTAGATATCGACTAGTCATAATGTCAATTGTGAATATCTGTAATGACATTTTTAATAGTCATAATATATTTTTACAATTCAAAATTACATTATGGATATTTGCACACTACAGTTTACTTGTGTCCTGTAAATAAACTGGCAGCTGTGGTTGTTTTTAATGTAGCTTGGTGTTGTGTCCCTCCTATATGTTGCGACTCCCGAGCCGGTCGTAACACTAGGAAGAATGGCGTTGTGGATATCGGAAATGTTCTTTTTGACTAGGAAGAATCTTATTACGGGTATCTGCAATGCATATCCAGTCTAGCTAATAAATATTAAAATGGCTTGCCATAGGCTGATGGAAAAATGTCTCGTCTTCAAAAAATCCTTGTAAACAAAGGCAACGTGCGCCGTGAGCCTCTTCCCCACCTCTACTGAAATTTCATCTCCTTCATGTTGCCGGTGTATTCTGCTGTCGAATAGTGTTTCCCTTCTGTTAAAATGGCAGCCCCCCCCCCCCCCCGCCCTCGGGGGTTAGTTTAGGTATTGGGGAAACGGTATTCGAAGCAACACTGGCCTCAGCTCGACATGACATAAAATAATATGTTAATCACTTTTTCATATAGCTTATTAATGAAATACAAGTTGGATTTAGCGCTGTGACGCCGTTGATAAGGTTTCAAGTGTAGGTTACTTTTTAATTTTCCAGAACGTGTCATAATGACAAATGCCTCCTGTCATGTGTCAATAAAGTAACCCCTTGGGTGAGAATAAGAGGCTTATGAACAATGTCCAGGAAAATGTCTTAAAGTGGAGACTCGTCATTTTTATTATGCCTTCTTTTGCAGAGTGAGGACATTGAACTCGAGAGGGACTGTGTCATTAGAAGTCTGAGAGTCTACCTCAATGAGGACAGCAATGCTCTGAAAGAGAGATTGCACAGACCACCGTGGGGCTTTACGTGATTCGCAAAGAAGGTGCTGATAAAGAGGACGAGCCAGAGGATGTTGGAGTGGTGATCGAGGGTGTGGAGCTGCTAAGCAATCTGAGAAGCATTGCCTTTGGATGTGCCATGCTTTTTGGCCTGATTTACACACTCAACCTGAGCTATTCTAAGGAACTCAAATTTACAGTGGGTACAGAAAGTATTCAGACCCCTTTAAATTTTTCACTCTTTGTTTCATTGCAGCCATTTGCTAAAATCCAAAAAGTTAATTTTATTTCTCATTAATGTACACTCAGCACCCCATCTTGACAGAAAAAAGCATTTTAAAAGTCCAATCAGTTTAATTAAACAGCTGGACTCCAATGAAGGAGTAGAACAATCTCAAGGAGGATCAGAAGAAATGGACAGCATGTGAGTTAAATATGAGTGTCACAGCAAAGGGTCTGAATACTTATGACCATGTGATATTTCAGTTTTTCTTTTTTAATAAATTTGCAAAAATTTCTACATTTCTGTTTTTTTCTGTCAAGATGGGGTGCTGAGTGTACATTAATGAGAAATAAAATGAACTTTTTTGATTTTAGCAAATGGCTGCAATGAAACAGAGTGAAAAATTTAAAGGGGTCTGAATACTTTCCGTACCCACTGTACTTTTGAGTTCTTCCAGAAAGTGTTGATGAACTTGGATGGCAAGAAACTGTCCCCGAAGGTCCAAGCACTTAAAATGAAGATGCTTCATTGAGCTCACAAGGACAGAGCTAGCCACATGTTGGCCTGTTGGACATTGACATTTTGTTCAACTGTTAAAGACTGTAATGAAGCCACTTGTGACTAGTTTGTGTTATACATGTTTCCAAAAGTTTACGGTGTTGCATTTTAAACTTTTGCATTTTGCATTTTTAGTTATTGGTCTACCCATGTGTTAGAAAAATTCACTCGAGCCGATGTAAAAATCATTAATCACAGGACATTTATTCTTTCAAGCAGGAGACAGGGTTGATTCACATACAGAATGTACATCAAGACCGCTCGGAGTTCTGACTCTGAGCCTCTGGTATACTTGTAAACACATGTAGGATTGGCACAGGGTAATTTATGATAAAGCATTTGTCACTAAGGAAAACACACAAACACTGCGTTCACACAGTGTAATTATCACAAAGTCTGGAACATCACTTGAACAATTTGTTCTAGTCTTAGGGTCACTTTATCGTAATCAGGAAGTCATGGTTGCAAATCAGCCAGGCGTAAGTTTTGACGCCTCTACACATTTATTATGGCTGATGTAGGGTAAACAGCTTGAAATGTTCTTTCGACCGTCAACTTTTTCTTAATAGCCTAAACATTTGCTGAGACTGGTGTTACAGAAAGTTCACATGAAACCATTTGAGCACAGAGCTCTAAACACTTACAGAGGACATGAGCCTATGTTAAATGTGTAACATTCACTAATTATTAATGCACAATAATTAGTTATTTAGATTTTTCCCAACACCATGTCATAATGCATTTTAAACATTTGCATTTTCAGTTGTTGGTCTACGCATGTCATAGTGCATTTTATCAATTTGAATGTATCCGGCAATAAAGCCTTCAGAACTGTTCTTGTATGCATTTCGTGATTTATTACAAATACTTGAATTAATACATAAGGTTTATGTAAAAGTTTGCATTCATTTTATTTAATAAAATCACATTAGGATTAGTCAATTTAATCAGACTGACTCAACGTGATAGAAAAGCATAGTGTTTAATGGGACCCTTTACATTGAACTTATGTAATACAATTAAATGGAAATTGTATATGTAATTGAAATACTTAAAGTCAATGTTTTAGGTATAATTATTTCTTTGAGTGTACGTACGGTCGGGGTGGCGTTAACAGCTGTGACCGCCGCATGGGAGCAGTGCAGAGGCAGCAGTGACCTAACCAGTGGGACACACTGACATGCACAAACATGCACTGAAAGAGTGTTCCTACGCTTTAAATAGCAAGTAGTTGTTGGCTGCTATATTATTGCTCTGATTGCACCTTTAAATTCAGTTGGACTTTAAGGGATCATTTCAGCCATTTTTTTTCTGTGTTGATTCATTTCACTACAACTTGCAACAAAGCTAATCAAGACGTAGTCACAGACCGTATATGAGAAGCGGATGTAGTCACCGTCAAGACAACTATAGGTTTGTTAACTAACGTTTTGATGCCTTGAGTTTGGGCATCTTGGCTTTTGGCCGTCACAATCTTGCTTTTTGGTCGTTGCCATCTTGTTTTTTTGAAAGAGAAGTGACACAAGAGTTCAACGGAACGCTGAACAAGACATTTTTAAGGCGACCAAGATGTTACGAACATCCAAACCGGACAACAGCGTAGGATTTTCATATTTGAGCAGAATTCCCCAGCTTAACTGGTGCCATGCCATTATTCCGACGGCCCATTATTCCTGAACCATTATTCCTGAACACCGATCCCATCGGAAAGTCCATTTGTCCTACAGCCCGTTATCCCAAAGTTAACAAACCTTTGTTCGGAAGGCCCAATGCCACAAAAACACAAACTCTCCCTGCAACAAACAACAGCGCATGGCTAATTATTACGCCAAAGGCTGTTGCAGTGGCAATATTTGTTTTCCTCCAACCATTGTGAAGCCATGACCCGCCCTACTCTGCCTCTGGTAGGCATACCCTGATATTTTTACCCAAAACCTAACGTATATCATTCCGATGTCCTCATTCTGCATAATCATTTGCCATGTGCTTCTGTTTGTAGCAGGGAGAGTGTGTATTTTCAGAACAATGGGCAGTCCCCACTTAACTCACATTGGAAAATCTCCGGAAACTCACTGACTCTTTGCGAACCCATGCTAGCATACGTTTACAGTCTTGCTGCTGAGTGATCTGATCTGTAGCTCAGTAAGCGTTGAAGGATATGGGTTTTTTTTTCAGACTGTAGGAAAATCACTGATGCATATGTCTTATTTCCTTTGAGGTTGCGTTTGGTAAATTTGGTGAGAATCAGGACAACAGGAGCATCTCCATTGGAAGGCCCACCAGCTCTGCGAAAGGAGTTGCAACCATCATATTCTCACTGAAAAATGAAGTCGGTGGTCTAGTCAGGGCACTTCAGCTTTTTCAGGTGGGTGTTTTATTTTGAAAGTTTTTTAAAAACGCATGCTGTTATCTTTAAATTCAAATTGTTTAATCTTTGTTTGTTGTAGTGATCTAACCTGGATGAGTCTGATCATGCACGGAAGCTTATTCCACATGTTCTGTTCATCTTGCATGTTATGTGTGTGCAGGAAAAACACATCAACCTCGTTCATATCGAGTCCCGCAAGTCCAAGCGGAGGAATTCAGACTTTGAGATCTTTGTGGATTGCGACACTGACAATGAACAGCTCAAGGAGCTGACTCAGCTGTTAAGGACACACACCGATGTTGTTGAGATTACTCCATTTGAGAACTCCACTCTACCTGACGACAGTAGGCCCACATAATTTACAATAAAAGAATTTATCTTTTCATGCTTAAATAGCAGTAAATACCATAACCAAGGCCTGTCAACAAGCGCAGACATTAATGTAATGAGATGCAAGCAGACCTCTAATTGAACTGAACCTGAATTGTGTTACAGTTATGCCTGATGTGCCCTGGTTCCCTAAGAAGATCTCTGATTTGGATCAGTCTGCGAACAGGGTTTTGATGTATGGCTCTGAACTAGATGCCGACCATCCGGTAAGGACATACACAGCTTACACAGTTACAGAGCAGCTCTGATTCATTCTTTACTTTTATAATAAGGGGAATTGTGAAAACTGACATTGTGAGTCTGTCTTTTCTTTCTTTCTTTTTTTTTTGCAGGGATTTAAAGACAACATCTACCGTAAAAGAAGAAAGTATTTTGCTGATTTGGCTATGAGCTACAAATTGTGAGTTCCACTGTTTCTTTGACTGATGCAAATTGTTTCGTTTTGCTTTGATGTATGAAATTGATTTAGGGGACATGTTTCAAAATTTAAGGGTGAAACCCTCTGTAGTCAATCAATCAAAATGTATTTGTACAGCACATTTTAACACACAACAAAGGTCGCCCAAAGTGCTGCACATAGATAAGCAGTCATACATTCGAAAAGACTGGATTACTAAAAGTAACCTTAAAATCAAAACAAACTAACACAAATCACACAAAAGTGCCAAGTTAAGATCAAAGGTGATAGGCCAGGGAAAAGAAATAGGTTTTTAAACGGCTTTTAAACATTGGATGACAACCGAATATGAAGGGGACGGTTGTTCCAGAGCTTATGGGCAGCAACAGAGAAAGACCGGTCGGCCCAGGTTGTCATTTTCGTTCTAAAAGCTGTTGGTCGAGAGACCTTAGTGAGCGAGGTGGGGTATAGGGCTGCAGCAGGTCCACCAGATAGACTGGGGCGGCTCCAAATTTTTTAATTAATTCTGTACTCGACTGGTAGCCAATGAAGGAAATGTGTTCACCAGTTATAAGCCTTGCTGCAGAGTTCTGCACCAACTGAAGGCGTGATAAAAGATTTTTGCCGATTCCAGCATACACAGGATTACAATAGTCCAGTCTAGAGGTGATAAAAGCATGAATAACTTTCTCCAGGTCTTTCGAGGAGAGAAAGGATTTGTGCCATCTCGTCTTGGAGGGGGATCATGGACAATAGCAGTCAATGCCACATCTGCTACATCTCTTTTATCAGCATCATCTGCACAAAACTGACAAGAAATAAAATTAATTAACAACTGCCAGACCAAATAAAATGATGTCACACGTATTTGGGTAAAAAAGCCAAAAAGTCTTGAAGTCAGGAAAATAAGAAGGCTAATAGTAATGTGTGATTTTTGAAAAGGCTTTCCCCCAATTTCTTTAGAAATCAGAAAAAATAACAAAGAAAGGTCATTTAGTGTGTCTAAGTATAATAAGCGAAATGGAATAATATGAAGAATTGTTGACAAAAATGCGTTTAAAAACAAAAAGTAACAGATGGAAATGCCTCAGAGTCAAGTGGGAACCAGTTAAATGCATCATCATACAACCGCTGCCACTTGTTAAATGGTTGCCCTGGTTCCGGCCCTGATTGTAAACTACATTTGAAGGATGAAGATGTGTTTTGAAGTTGCTTTTTTATGTCACCGATGATCGGAAATAATTCTGGAATGAATTATCGAACTAGTTTTCTCAGTTGGAAAATGGTAAAATAATACTAATAAAGAAGTAATGGTGTTAATCTGACCAACTAGATGAAAGAAACGCACTGTTAAGAAGTTAAGAGTTAAATCACAGTAATGCTTGTCGAGATATGCTAATACTGTACCACAAAATGACAGTGTAAAGTAATTCACATTGTTTCTCCCATCTTTATATTCGATCTGTCAAAGTTCTATTTTATAACGTCAATAAGCTAACTACCTCTTCGTGTTTGGTCAGTGGCGATCCTATTCTTCGTATAGACTTCACAACAGAGGAGGTGCGTACCTGGGGAGTGGTGTTCAGGGAGCTCAACAAGCTGTACCCGAGCCACGCCTGCAAGGAGCACCTGAAGAACCTCCCCCTGCTGACCAAACACTGCAACTACAGCGAAGACAACATCCCCCAGCTGGAGGACGTCTCGCACTTCCTCAAGGGTAAACTGTTTGAATGCCGAGGTCACACTTGTCTATTCAGTGCGACCCGATCACGCCCGACGAACACATTGACCGTCAAGTATGTTCGCTCGGTCAGACAAACGCGCCGAGGTGGTCTGGCTCGCATGGAGTTCAAAAACTGAGTGAGGTGTGCACAGCATGTGGGAACAATCCGGACAATTTATCAAACGCAGGTCTCACATCGTCCTCCCGCCAAATCAAATAAACTGGGGCTGGAGCCCAGCTGAGGCCTGTTTACAGCCAATAAAACCTCAACATTTCCCAATTTTGCTGCTTCAAATTAAAAGATTTTTAGGGATTTTATTGGGAAAAAAACGAATAAGCGGAGCTTTGTTATCGACTATTCTTCAATAAAACAGGTTTACTAATACCGCAGGGAGGAAGACGACAGAAAATGATGACAAACTGTTTATCCAGTCTTTTACAGCCGCTTCTTATATCCGATCTCTTTCCGATCAGGTGGGTCGCATTTCAGTGTGGACAAAGTTGTGGACAAGTGTGTTTCAGCATTCGCCAGGGCCGAGTGCTTACACATCAGTTTATCTAATGACAAGAAGATGCCAGCTCCTCAAAATCTTCAAGAGATTGAAAGATTGAAAAACAAAACATGAATATCATGATCTTTTTTTCTACCGTGCCTTATAGTTTATTTTATTTACAATCTTAAAAAGTACATTATTTTCTGCCAAACTTTTCCAAGGAAAAGGCTAAAGTTTCGCACCATAGTGAGGTTACATCGCCCATTATTATTCGTCGACGTAATAATGTTATCAATATGACCTTTAAATCACTTGTACTGTATGTGTCACTTAAGTGTAAATCTGTTCATGGTTCTTGATTAAGGGCCAATTGATCCTAGTTATCTTGGTAATTTATAGACTTAGCTGTCGACAGTTTTCAACGGAACTTCTCTCTACCAAAGAAACTAACATGCAGTGTGTGTGTGTGTGTGTGTGTGTGTGTGTGTGTGTGTGTGTGTGTAGAGCACTCAGGCTTCATCATTCGGCCAGTAGCTGGGTACCTCTCCCCCAGGGACTTCCTAGCGGGCCTGGCCTTCAGAGTGTTCCACTGCACTCAGTATGTCCGCCACAGCTCTGAGCCTTTGTACACACCTGAACCGTGAGTACATACATGTACGCACAAAAGGCATTCACTTTATACTACTGGTTTTTTTTTTTAAGCGCTTCAGTGAAGCAATACCTGCATTTGCCTTCTCATGTTTGGATGTAGAGACACATGCCATGAGCTGCTGGGTCACGTTCCTCTGCTTGCTGAGCCCAGCTTCGCACAGTTCTCTCAAGAAATTGGTTTAGCATCGCTGGGAGCTTCAGATGATGCTGTGCAGAAGCTGGCCACAGTGAGAAAATACACACACACACACACACACACATCACTCACACATTTACTCAGGTCGCTTTTGGTGACATTACATAGCCTTACATTCATTTAGGCTAAGGGTCCTCTCGCATGTTGCGTCTAAAAACCGTGCCGCTCTCAGCTTGTACCCAAGGTGCCTGGGGAGTCGCACTCATGTCCCACCTGCCCTTCCTAAGCAACCAAAACTTGCGTGCTGCAATGATGACGACGACGTTGAAGTTGCGGTACTTGAGCAGTAAGCCTCACTGACTACACTAAACAAAGTCAAAACAAAGATAAATGGATTTCCAGTACTGTAAATCTGGATCATGTTAGCTTTACTGCGTCAGTTTGGTTGTTGTGACGTCCTTGGACGGAAAGGGTGAAGCAAGTAAACTAGATCGTAAAGCTCTGGGTAGCCCTGCACTGAAACATCTCAGACTGATATTTATGGAAGAAAGAAAAGATATTTGCCAGCTGTGGTTGGTTGTTTCTCGTCACATGACAACGTTTTAACTATTGTTATCTCGGTGTGCAGCCGTCGCACCCTGAATAATAGGAGAGTGCTTTGGGGCGTGCGTTCTGCGTATCTACATGGACAACAAAGGATTTGAGGACGGAAAAAGTGCGGCATGCCAACGACCGCTAATGACAACGTCATCACAGCTTGCACATCGAGCGAAGTTGTCACTGCACTTGGTCGCGCACCTCTGAATATTTGGAAACCCGCTCAGGGCTTTTTCAGACAGGACTGACACGAATAATTATTTGATAAAAGCACTATCAACACGAGGACTTTCCAAAGACGGCTAATTAGTTATTAGTTGCTTTAGAAACAGGAGGTAGCTCTGTGGGGGCTCGCACCACGGTGCCTCGTGCGAGTTTTAACAAAGCTTAAGGAACACACAACCAAAAGGAACCAACGAGGAGACTAAAACTAAAGAGGTCGATGGGTATTTTGTCATTACACTTTTTTTCTTTTTGGTGTCGATATGAACTTCGTCAAGTATAATGTGCTATAATGATATAGAACTGTGTAATGGGATGGGTACCAAAACACGGTATTAAACGGGCCCCGGTTCTTAATTATTTTTAAGAATATCTTCATGCTGCAGCATCTCCTCTGCTCTCTGTGTCAGAGCTGAGATCCTCCAACTACACACACACAAACACTGTGCACACAATACACTTGTACTGTAAATGCAATAAAACCAAAGGTTCAGGTGTATTGATGAAGTGAATCCTTTATCAATACACTTGAAAAAGAACCGAGACAACGCAGTATTGATGAAGACAATAACACCCCTACCATAGGCACAAACTCACACACCTAACTCAGTTAGTGACATCTATTACTTACATTCTCATACTGTGTTTGAAAAGGATGATGTACAAATGAAAACCCGTTTTGTTCTAGTGTTATTTCTTCACAGTGGAGTTTGGCCTATGTAAGCAGGATGGCAGGCTAAGGGCCTATGGAGCTGGACTCCTGTCCTCCATCAGTGAACTCAAGGTAACACTCGACCTGCTGTCTAGCTTTACACAGTGCATGTGCATCTGCTGCACTTGTTGCTTACACTGTGAACTTCTGTATGAGTAGCTGTCAATTGGCAGCTTCTCAGGTTTTCCTACATACTGTATGTCATGAATTAAATATTTCAATGAAGTTTGGTGACAATGTTGACATTTATGAATGCCTTGAGATCTTGGATCGTATCTCCTGGGCCGAGAAACATTTTATTTTCCCATGACAGTTCCTTTGTTTACCGCAAACCCGTTGATTGTTGATATAGCCACATTAATTGTACATCTGAATTTGTTTCGTGATTTAAATGAATAAACCAATACTGACCTAAACCAATCACATTTCTGTAGCATCAGCTCATATTCAGCAAAAGGTTTTCAGAGGAAATTCTTATCTAGCTTTCACTACCACTTATGAGAATTTAAAAAAAAACACTTTACATTTCTCCTATGTGGCAATCCAGGTTACTTTAATTCTGTAATTGCATTGACATGCAGTCAGCCAAAACCATGTTACTTGACCAAACAGGTCATGAGGGGCATTCTCTCGGTATGTGAATGTGACCACACAACGTCTCTGTTTTCTTTCAGCATGCTTTGTCTGACAAGGCCCATATCCTTCTCTTTGACCCCGTGGTGACCTGTAATCAGGAGTGCATGATAACTACGTTTCAGGACGTGTACTTTGTTTCTGAGAGTTTTGAGGACGCCAAGAACAAAATGAGGTCAGTAGAAGTCTCCTCCCTTAATAATGTAGCTCTGGTCAACTCCCTGATTTTGAGGTTTTACAACATCACTGTTAGCATTTAACAACTAGCCAGCGCCGCTCCATAGACTCTCATGCAATTTCAGATTTGCTTTATTTTCAGGCTGGTTATGTGGACTTGGAGCTGGTTATGGTTAAACGTGTAATAGTTCTACTAGTTACCCAGAGAGGTTGGAAGAAGATACGTTTCTAAAATGTCTAGTAACTAGTGTTAGCATATATATGTTACACAAGCTAGTGAAGGTATACTGACTGTATACATGCTGCTTTCACTTTTTATCATATATTTATGCAGGGAGTGCAGTTAGTGACAGTGTGGGCTCGATGGTAGCTTGGCAGAGTAGTAGCAAGGGACGGGGCATAGCAAAGGGTCACTTCTGTCATTACACCAGCACTGTAGTAACATTATCAGATAAAAGTTTCATCATTTGCTGTCCTTCGTAGAGTTGGATGAGCCAGGCTAGCCTTTTTATCCTGCTTTCAGTCTTTATGCTAAGCTAAGTTTATCACCCCCTGGCTGTAGTTCCATACTTGGTGCACAGACATGGAATGTGTTAGCAATCTTCTCAGGTCACACAAATGAGTGCATTCCCCAAAAAGTTTTTCACCAGCAGCATCTACTGTATCACAGCTAAATTAGTTTTTGTTCTCCATGCGGTGACAATTAGCATACCCAAGCATCTGGACCTTAGCTTAGCTGTAAAAATGTTTTTCCCAAGGTGGTAACTCACAGTGTTGTTGTTTATGTATATGTATATATCCAAGTCAGTTAAACTTCTGAGTATGTTAAAGTCCTAAAGTCTTTTACACTTTGGTGATGGATCCTGGAATTTCACTGTTCTTTTTGAGATCATCTTTATGAATTGTTTTTAAATGATCACACACAAAACTTTGGTTGAATGATTTTGTAGCTACAATGTTTCAGAGATGTCAAAGGTTGAACTGGGCTATTGATGTTACTGACTTTTTGTGTGTCTGCAGGGAGTTTGCTAAGACCATTTGGCGGCCATTCACAGTACGCTACGACCCCTACACCCAGAGTGTGGAGGTCCTGAAGGACACCAACAGCATCAATAGCATGCTGAAAGACATCCGGCATGAGCTGGACATTGTAGAAGACGCCCTGAACCGACTCAACAAACACCTATGAGTCTGAATTTGTATAAATGTACAATAAAGTTAAAAATTAGTGCTGGGCAATGATTCAAATTTTTAATCGCGATTAATTGCATGATTTTTTTGCGATTAATCGCATTGTTATGCTCAAAGTTCAAAAGTAGTATATTGCGCACTTTTATTTTAAAAGTACTGTTATATGAACAAAAGTGCAATAACATTTGGTTTGCAAACACTTTAAACAAATAAGGTTATTTTTAACAGCAGTATTCCCTTCACACAGCAGTTAAAATACAGTTATAATGATTCTGATAATAGATATTCAGCCGGTGTTCACAACTTTACTTTCATGTTTAATAAATGCAATTTGAAATCTACGTCATGTTTTTTTCTTCTTTTTTTTATGTTTGTTAAATTCTCAGTAGCGATAACTAAATGATATGCTTATTATACATATTACAAACAAAACAACTTTAAAAACTCTAAAAAAATAATTTAAATGAATCATTTCTTTTTTGGTATTTTGGTCAGACATATATGCAACGCTGATTACCGTAATATGTGTGGTATTTGTTATAAATGTACGTTGGTACATAGAGGGTGATAAGAAGCTGTACTTGGAGGAACTTAGGACCCAGGGGAATGTAGATGAAGCAAGGGAACCTGGAGGGGGTCTGTACCATGGCAGTAACCTGCATGAGGAAGTTATGCTAATAAAGAGTTGCAGTTAAGAGCAGTTTGTTCTCACGTGCTTATATGTATTAATATGTATTTTGATATTGTCACGTTTGATCCTGTAACAAGACGATCGCGCGCGTTTGTGTGTGTGAGAGACAGGAGGGACCGACGGTGACGGAGTGAAGGGGGGTTCCGGACCGGGCGTGTCACCCGGGGGGTGGGGGGTTGGCAGCAGCAGCAGGAAGTGACGCCACACAAACACAGCTGTTCACCGCTCACTGCCTGGTTCTTGTGTTAAAACTATCTGCTTAATTAATAATATTTAAAAAAACTGCGTTAACGCACGATGATATAATTGTCGGCATTAATTAATGAATGCGTTAACGCGATAATAACACGTTAACTTGCCCAGCACTATAAATATAACACCAAAATCCCAACTTTGTTGCCACAATGTGAAGCTTAATGTCTCCAATTCACACTGTAAAGATGGATCACACTGTAAAGATGGATCCTTGGTGTTTCTGCTGGCCGATGCTTATTTGTACCTTTCCTCTGTTAATGGAGCACTATGAGGCGTTGTTGACGACAATGGATTACAACGTCGTTTGTTAAACGGGTGTGGAGCACGCTTCCATGGAGTGGATATCAATGCAATAAAAATATAGCTGCAAGTGGCGTCCGAGCACATTGTTTTTTGACACGTATGCATGAAACAACTTTTAAAGCACAAGTGTCACAGAGTGTGCGAACAGAGTTCAGTTAGGAGAAACCGGAGGATTCAGACAACACACCGATGCTCCCGAGCTGTGTTCAAACCGGTAACCTTGCAGTCACACAGTGTGCGTGTCTAAAGGCCCGTATACACATAAAACCGACAGCCTCACGTCTCCTGTGTTTGGGCTAAAACGTTGCCCTTGAATCAGATGAGATGAGGATGAAACATGAGACAAGCCTGTCTGTGCGTTCCCATATTGATTTTACTCGTCTGCTTGCTTTCCTCACTTCCATTTTTGTCTCAGACTGGTGTGTGTGTGTGGTTTGTGCAGCATCGGATCAAAATGACTCCTAATCTTAGACCTGGTGTACTGATTACAAGACTATTACACTTAGGAAAATGGAGGACTGGATTAAGTCTTGTCACGCGATCGGATTTTGATTTACTACTATGCACAACTTTGCCACAAGGTGGAACCGTGATACCACTATGGTGCCAACTATCCACACTCAATTATCCCTTCGACAGCTGAAGAGCAGAGGTACCACTCCTTTATCAAAGTAGGCAGCAATTTACAATGAAGATCCGTGCCTATGGTGTTTGTATCCAACTGATATTAGCAGGCACAGTAACTGCTTGTAACAATTAACATACTTGTAGATAACATGTGAATAACATGTGAATGCAATTCAACAAGCTCGTTTACGCATGAGAAATGGTTGAAAGAGGGCACATTGAATGTATGTTACTGATATCAAGCACAGGCTCAGCACAGGTAAGCTAACACTGCAGACACTCAGTTGCAAGTAAGTGGGCCTAATTAGAATGACCAGCAACCAATATGTAACAAAGCAAGCATTATCTTTAATGGACGAATAGACATTAAATTGTATTAATATGTGATTTAAAGTATTTACAGATGAATGGATGACATATCAGTCATAAACAATGGTGGTTTTCTGTCTTCTGTGTGAAAAGCCTATTTCTCATCTTTCCCATTAACAAAAAAAGTCAATCTGTGCAAAGCAACACAGGCTTTAAGTTGCTTTGTCCAGATCTCTATGATGTATGCCCAGTAGATTGCTTTTATCATCCTGATCTGAATGATTGCTGCAAAGTAACAACATTGTAGCCATGCATTCACATTAACAATGTATCAATGGACCTTTTTCCTCACAAATGTCACGGAATCATGAAATAAAGTTTTACTGTAATTATATTATATTACAAGTTGTATATATGTTCTATTTAATGACTGTCTCTGGGCCCTGTGACAGAGCAATCTGTTTTATATACTCTCTTTCATGTCTGTTGTGTTTCTAGAAGATAAGTCTGCTGAAGGCGATAACAACAAGTCATTAAATCAAGACCCAGTCATATGAGTGAATGTCAGTTTCTAACTTTGGGAAAATACAGGCTCATATAGAAATATATGGAAAATATAAAATGCCCCAAATGTTAAAATCCTTTTTTTAATCATACTTTAAAATTATTTCAACACACCATACATATCTGAAAGTTATAATCTACATTCCAAGACATCCTGAAGTGATATAGAAAGTAAAAGTAATAGTGAAACTGAAATAACTTTGACAGAGTGCAAAGTTTTGTTCCCATCAAATGTAGGTGACAGGCGGCTCTCTGGGCCATCAGATAACCTTTAACCCTGACATCCCACAATGTTGAGTACTACTTAACCTTGTAGATTGTATTGTTATAATGAAGAGAAAATGTAGTCCATGCAGCAATCTATTTGCAAACCAGGGACCAGAGCTGAGAGTTTGGTGAGTGAGTCATTGTTCAACTGTAAACCAATGAAATAAGATGATTTATTGTTGCTTTTGTTAGTGAGATGGTCCCATTGGACCGAACTGATGGTAATGTTTGCTAAAATGGCAAGCAGACTCTAGAATAAACTGTAGGACAGCCACCTAATGAACCCCAACCAATAAGACTGTATGTGTGATACATATTATTAGACGAGTAATAATTTATGAGATAGTTGGTTAAAGGTCATGAAGCAGCCATCCTGAAAGAGATTCTGTAGTCGCCATGCTGCTCCGGAAAAATGGCTGATATAAAGTGATTTGTTTTGAACCTGGGCTGATGTTAGAGGGGAGTATGGGATGTCAGAGAAAATGGTATACAGAGGTGTATGTTGAAGAGTGACGTTTGTTGGGTTTTGATAGAGCGGCATGGTCTTAATTCAGGAGTTGATGAATGATAGATCTTTCGGTAATGGATATGATCTCCAAGTGTCCAAACATATGAGTTATGTGGTTACATTTGCCCAGTGTTTGGTGCATAGTATAGAAAGAAAACAATGGTTGCTCTCTAATCAATTTAATTATTATTTCTTTTTTTTTTTCCAATATAATTATGTAAAGACATTGCCTAGTTTATTGAACCACTGTGCTGGTAGTGAAACGGGGGTCATATCAAATAGTGTAAAGGATATTTGGGAGTATTTTAATTTTTACAGTTGAGATGCAGCCAAGATGGAACCAAAGTGGTAATTTGCTCCTTTTCTCTGGGTCCTCTTGGAAGGCTGCCATAATGGTGTGAAGTTCAAAAGTCTTTACTTTTGAAATCTCTTAATATTGGATGCTGGAAGTTTTCTGATCTCAGCATTTCAAACAGCAATATTGAGACAAAAACTTAAGATTTAGGATTTGGACCAGTTGACTGAGTAGCCAGAGTTTGCCGAAAGTACACATCAGACTACATGTAGTGATCCCTGAGGTTTATAAGCCAATTAAATATTCTGCTGATGTCTCATAATAACATTTCTTTTTACAATCAATACTTGAAATGATGAGACACTCTGTGTAATTGGTGCACATTTGTGATTTTGAAATTATAGAGTTGGCAAGTGGTTCAATATTAAGACAAAGTATAAATTATCAAATATTAAATCATAAACGTGGTGAGTAGGGCCAGGAGTGTGAGGGGTTCATCGATGTTTTATCAAATACATTTACAGCTCACAAAGCCATGTACGATCGGGTCCATGTATGAGGTATTATTGATGCCCGATACTCAGTTCTTCTTTGTCTTGTTTGCATGGGAACCAACATTTACCACCTACCTCCATAATGCTGCTGAGGGCGCCTTATAAGTAATATAGCAATGAGTTTACAGCGTGTGTAAACTCAGTTCATTTTTTTTCTCCACATCTTTTGGTGTGAATAGTCTTCCATACCAACCTGACAGAAGGTTTTTTTTTTTTTAACGGTTTCTAAATGTCCTGATTGGAAACCATTCATTTACATAAGCAAAGCAGACCTCTCCCTCCAAAAGTGTCGAAGCGTGTTAGCAAATCGATGTGTTATTTTGAAGGCGTTTACCAGAAGTCCACTGCGTTATGGACTGGATTGATTGTGTGTGAGTGAGGGAGGGAGGGAGGAGTTGGGTGTTGCCTCGGTCTTCGAGCTGAAGTCAGGATTCCCAGTCGACACTCAGTCCCTGTTACACACGTCGTGAGACACTCGGCCCACTACACTGCCACCGTCCTGTATAAACTCTTTCTCCGAATACATTTGACTAAACGGACCAACATGGGAGTCGAAGGCTGCACCAAATGTATCAAGTACCTGCTTTTCTTCTTCAACTTCATCTTCTGGGTGAGCAGCAAGCCTTGGTTTTATTTTTATTTTAACACATTAGGCGTTCACTTCGGTGCCTCCGCCTCCTTCTCTCTGCGCTCAGCGGGTTGTATTGGTTTGTTTAGGCTGCCGGCCCGTTGTATGAATGAACGACACCGGGATAACATCCACGTTAACGTTCCATCTCGTGGATTTAGTACGTTCAACCGTTCTACCGCATGAATAACCGCGTGAGGGCTTATTTTTTCCTTCGCCACTAGGGGAAACTATGGCGAAATGATGGTTGGCCAAAATAAATAGGTAGAAAAGGCGTGTGTGTGGTTAATTTACAGAACTATAATAAAACATCCACGAGCTGGTGAATATCATAGTTTATACAGCAAAACCCTACCGTGCCGAGGTAGAGCCGCCTCACGTGTTAAATCAGCATTAAGAAAAAAAAAGCAAACGGGAGAAAAATAGTGCGTTTAGCCCCAAAAATGATAAGTTCACGCGATAGTTTGTTTGTTGTGAAATCAAACTCACGGTTGAACCGTTTAGAATCCCTGACGGAGGCTCTAATAACAATATGGGCCGATAATAAGACGGTAGAAACGTCTTTTAGTTAGTGGGTCTGCGGTGAAGACTGCCTCGCTCGGGTTTGGAGAATGGCTTTGTTTGGATTACATCCTCAACCCAATTTCTGTGGGGTGGGGGGTGTCTCGTGGTGGTTTCCATTTCCTGAGTCCAGGCCCCGTGTTGGGTGATGGCTCGTGGAAAAAATGTGCGTGTGTTTAGCTTTCGCTCTTCCCGTGTGAGAGCTACTGTAGGCTCCTTCCCTTCATCCGTTATTTTTGTCCTTACAAATCAAAGAGTGCCACTATATATATATATATAAATGAATATATATATATTACGAACCCGAAGTAAACGATCTTAAGCAGGGTGTCGGACGGAAGACAAGGGTGGTGCATGGGTGGGGGCGTGTTGTTGTTGAGACAGTAAAACATGATCTCGAGGCGAAGTAGCAAATGAATGCCTTTAACAGTTTATAATACCCTGACACTGAATTTTACGGTAACCATATTTTTTGTCAGACGGTAAACTGTAGAAATAGCGGTTCACTTTCACGATCGACCAAGGATGTGGGCGGGCCTTACGGGTCTAGGCCCGCCCACTTGTACAGCCGGCCCATCCTAAATGACTGGGAGAACAAATTTTTACATTTTAAATTTTTACATTTTAATAATTAGAATTCATATTTACCATGCTCAATAAAGACTAAAACGCTGTTTCCCCACTCAAAGTAAAAGACACGTGTGGAGTCTGGACCAATCGCAACAGGCCGTCGACGTGGCGTCTACGGTAGTTTAGATATTTTAGTATAGAATACAAAAAGTCAAAGAAAAAAATCAGTCGTGTGCAGAATTTAAAAAAAATTGTAAATAAATGCGTCTCCTGCGAATAAAATATTTGTTTTTTGTGGGTTTTTATTTAGGCTTTCAGAAAGCGTTCTGTGTTGGTTACATTTTCCAGCTGTGTAGAATGTGTCTGTCAGCAGTTTACAGTGCACATGCAGTCACTGTCTAATGTTATAGCAAGAAGCTGTAAACATTGTAGGCAAGATGGGAGCTGGGGAAAAAAAATCCAAGAAGCCTGAGATCACCGTTTCTATGTTCCCTAGAAAGAATTGACAGCGCAGTGAGCCACTCTCTCTCGTTTAAAGTCAATCTGACCAGCAGTCAATGTCTTCCTCTCTCTCCCTACAATCGACTCACGTTGAATGAATATTCATCGAGCCAGATCACCCAAACAAGATGGCATCGCCTCAAATAGAACTAAACTGTCAGTGAATGGACGTTTTGTTCTACTAAACCCACAGCAAGGACCAAACATCACAGATACCATGTTTCATGTTTGCAATATGTGTGCCATTTGAAGAAAGAAATAATCTTTAAAAAGTGTCATAATCAACCAGACGCACTAGTCGCCAGGGTATGATACTCTACCAGTCGGAAACCGTTAAAGGAACAGTATTTACTTCTGTAATTAGAAGGCCCATCCAAAAATGTGATTGGCTAACGCAGCGGCTTGCTGGATGGCGTCACATTGCATTGCAGCAAAGGTTTAACCAGTAGTTTCTACTTTTTTTTGCCAGCCTGTGTTGGCACCCAGACTGAGTGGCAACATTAAAGTAAATGAGAGGGACTAATGCCGCTTTAAATAGGACCCGAGAGCCCCCCACGGGGGGCTGTTTTAGAGTGTGTAGCATTCAGCGCGTCGTAGAAAGCATTTTTCATAAAGAAATATGATTATTGCTCCAGACATATTAAATATCGAATTAACGGGAAAAGTCCGAGCAACATCATCATACCAGCCATTGTAAACACTGCAAACACAATTATACATGAACTAATATCATATCTGGAAGATATCTAGAAGATTTGCCACAATTTTGGCCAAAAATCGACGACCTATGCTCTCTCTATGGCTCTCTCATCACGGAGCACTGATCGCACATGGCGGATGAACACATGCAGGAGGGGCACGATTCGACCCGGAAACGCACAGTGGCGTCGAAATTATACTCTCTTTCAAACCGTTCAAAAGTTATGGGTGTACATGCCAACATCAGCCACATCTCAAGAGAAAATAAATTGGGTAAAAAAACGTATGTTTTGGCGATGTAAAACGGATTTATTCCAGCCGATTTCTGCACAGCTCTGCCAGCCATGTTGTGCTGCGAGTCTGTGACTGGTATCAATGCGCTCGCGGAATGAATCACAAAATGGCAGACTATTCTGTGAGGTGGAGCAATCCATGTAGAGAGGGGGGTTCGCCCTGCATTTTGCGATTTTTTTTTTTTAGTCAGTAAACAGACCCGGATACGATCAAACACCCCCGCATGGCTCCCGTTGGACTATCCCGCATCTAAAAAGCTCTCGCACGATCTAAATCGGCCTTACCAGGGTCACATAGACACACATTATGAGTCATTTATTGTTATGAATGACAGATATGACACATCATAACTGCTTAAAATGATTCCAAATGGTGTCAAACTGATTTATTAGGATTATTGAACACTCTTAGTGATAAGAAAAGTGAATATATAGTTAATATTTAGTTATATATTATATAAAATTAGTATACAGCAATGCAACAGCTGGTTCCGAAAATCAAAATTTTGATTTTTATGACCATTTATGCTGGCCTGCTTCACTCAATCGAAGTAAAATATGTTGTGGGGACATGTAAAACGTGTTGTTCTATGTCTGTGGTGTATTTTTAGGCTTGCAGCTGTATTATTTAAAAAAAAAAAAAAGTTCAATACAAGCACTTTTTTTCAGGCGAACCTAGAAATTTTTCAATTTGAGCTGTGCCATAAGTGTATCAGTTATTAACCAGTAACATATACACAATATTTACACAATTCAACACATCTCACAAGTGTGACCAGTATTCTAGCATCAAAATTATTAAAATAGACCTTGTAGTTAGAGCTCGGGACTCTCTTGAGTATGGGTATGCAATTTTCGAGCAGAGGCCTAAAAATAGGGCTTGGGTCCTATGGGTTAAACAAGGCCTTAGAGTCCATTGACCTTGTGCGTGGCTCTAGATAAGTTAAAGAATCAAAGACAATATGAAGATGTTCATCAAGGGGACCAGAATGTGTTTACCATATTTCATGGAAATATGTGATAGTTGTCAAGCCAAAAATGCCACCAAAATCAGTCGGGTTCATCTTCTGGGGACCATGATATCTGAACGAAATTTCATGGCAGTCAACAAACCCTTTTACACACATCATGACAATAGTATGACAAGACAAAGAATTTCAGGGGAGGAAAAGATAAAGTAATCTGTAGGACGAGCAGAAATGAGGAGGGTGAACAGAAGGTGATTATAAGAGCAGACGATGTCTTTGTTGGTCGTTTCTATTCGTTTTAAATATACACTCTTCCATAGCAACTTTCAGATTAAAGCGGGGGGTGTTGCCCACTCATCAATCACTCTAATAAAGGTCACACTTCCAGCCTCTTTGCAGAGAGAAATGGAGACACAACAGAGGATGTTATGTAGGTGCAGTACAGGCTGACATGTTGCAGACCGTAAGCAAGCTAGTGGTGAAAGTTTTAAAGTGTTGCAGTCAACATTGGTTCCACGTAAAAAAAAAAAAGTGCAATTGTACCCTCCCCCCTGTAATGCTTCTTGAGATATTTGCATTTCTTTGTCCAGTTAGACGTGCATAACTTTTGCTGTGTCATTGTTTCACGCAGCAGTAGACTCATTCATTTTCTATGGAAAGTAGTGATGAGTTACAGGTTTGGAGAGCCACCGGGTCACTTCTACAGAGCTCTCCTTTAGAGAAAATGTTGCAGATTAATATTCTGTCAATTGAATAATGAATTATTCGACTCTGTGTCGGATTTAGGATTTTATCAAATTGAAAGGCAGAGTTTTGTCATGTTTCATCACATTTTTTATTGTTGATTTATCCTTGTTTGCTTTTGTTAAATGTCACATTTATTTGTCTTGTGCTTTACTTTTTTTTCGAAATGTCTCCACATTTATATGGCCTTTCCAGATCAAAAGTTAATACATTTCTATAACGTATTATACATGTATTATTTGCAATGTTTACAATGTTTAAATACATTAAACCTTGTAATTCTGATATTTCCAGCGGGCACCTGAAGGCAACATAGCTCTACCATGTTACAATGAACTGTCATGGTCAGGTCAGTATGGCGAAATCTGAATAGAGATGTGATACGTTTAGCTTGAACAACACTTGTTTTTTTCATGTTGGTGGTTTTTTCACACGCCAACTCTTTAAGGCCCAGGAAACCCCAATAGGAAATGCTTTTACCTGCGACTATCGTCCACAGCTGATTGCCGTCATCCATTATGAATGACAACTAAAGTGCTGGTGTTGAAGAAGGAAGCAGTGGGCTGCACTTTCCCTCAGTCTAACTGTTCAGGGACCAGAGAGCTAATGATTAAGCCACAGTTCTACCACTATCTCACACAGATAACAGGCCTTCAGTCAGCAGCTCCAGCTGTCTGCGTCTACACACGATGCGTTCAGGTACCATGTGCACATTAGAACAACAAATGTCCCCTTCAAAGATGTATTTTTTTGGACTTATTTCCTTAATTTGCATCTTAAAGGCCTGTGTGTAAAGTGTCAGTGACCATTAGATTGACCTCTAGCTTCTGTTACCTTTGCTATTGAGACCTTTCGTAAATTTAATGCGCTAGAATCGGTTATTAAAACAAGGGTCCTTAGAGGCTAGGGGTGGGCGATATGGCAAAAATATCAAATCATGATTTATTTATTTTTCAGGCAGGATCACAATCCACAATCTTATTACAATTATTTTTCTTGTTGGGTTTTAAAAACTATTTTGGAAGTTACTGACCAAATAAAAAAACAAAACACCTCACCAAATTGTGTTCCCAAATTGAACACCTTAAAGTTGTCTTTAAAAGGATTTCTGTTACTTTTCATGAATTGCCAAGTCACAATATGACAAGCAATGTAGCATTTAAAAGGCTTTCTTTAATGGAAGCACCCTTACTCTGGGTTTGTTTTCTGCTTAAGAAGGCCAAAAAAACAAAGAACCAGCCTTTTGTGTTGGTCATCGTCGACTTCTGATGAGAAAGTGGACCCGACCTTCTAGTGGTGTTAATGTTAAAAGAGGTTCTTGTTCCAAAAAGACTCAGTCCGGGACATGACTCCAGTCTAGCTGCACCGATCAGTCAAATGCACACATGCGTGGGCAGCGTGATGGTTTTTACGTCGTACATATGGTAATATCGCAGCCACACACACACTCGCACACACTTTTAGTCGTCAGTGTTGAAGGTCTTCAGCGGGAGTTGAGAAGCTTGCAATTTGCGACATGGGTCCAAGTCCTCCTGACTCGAACTAGCCACCGATAAAGAAGTGTTGGCAACACTCCTGAGAAGTGACTTTTAACGTGACCGTTAATGCATCACGGCGTCTCCTCCTTTCTTTTCAACACGTACTCCACTTTAACCCTTTTAGTTTTTTATTGACTGCTTCTAAAGAGCTCTTGAGAGAGAGGGTTCCATCAGAGCGGACGAGTCCGGTGGATGTGAAGAAACACTTTCAACTGTGGCATGCGGCCCCATGGAGTCTGTCTCTTTAAAAAAAAAAAAGGGAGGCGGGGGGTGGACCTCCTGTTTCCATAAATCACACAAGACACTGAGAGGGTTAAGAGGCTACAGGGGGGAGGAATGGGGGAGAGCATCAGTGTGGTGATATAGCAGACTTATGGGAACAGCAGACCTCCAGCATGCCCAGCATTCTACAACCCCCCTGTACTCGCGGGGGCATCAGGCAGAAATTGACACCGGGGGGGGCTGATCTGTGCTGATCTCACACTGGATGATACCTGAAGCACTTTCAGAGTTTCTCTTTAAGTGTGAGGATACAGTCACAGCTGTTAGGACTTTTACAACACACAAGTTAAACTCGACTCTGAACGTTAGTCTTGGGTTTTGCTCAGAAGGAGCCGTCTCTCTGTGGGGACGGCAGGCGAGGCTGTAGGAAGACATGATGACCCCCATGTGTTTGGACATCTGTCTCGGTGTGGAATGTGAGACAATAAAAATGCGGTGAAAACCGGAGCAGGTAGCCTATCTGCTCGGCCATTTTTATGTCTGCCCTAACGTCATTACCTACTTAAGACACAAAACGGCTGCACGTCCTAGCGCCTCTGAAATCCCTACACTCGTATTTTGAGTGTAATTCATTTGCCCAAAAAAAGAAAAGAGCCCAAACACACACTAAGTTAAAGATTCATTTGACTGGTTTTGTCTGGCCAACACTAAACCAAACGGAAAACCTCGTGGTGTTCAGACTGCTATCATAGTCTGAGAAAACCCACCAAATATTCACATTTGAGAAGCCGTAGCCACGATGTCCCTGCTTCAAAAATGCCGTTAAACATGTTAGGTTTGATATTCAGAGCATGAATATAGCATCAAACAACTATTGTCTCTGTAAAAATATAATGGAGGGGCATCTGTTTCTTGAGTGCGTTGTAATCCGAGCTTCTCTGTGCCTTGTTTACGTAGCCGGGTCGGCCGTGCATGCCTTTTTTTTGCTGCATGTTAGCACATGTTAGCGTGGCCCACTGGTTAGCTAATCGCCACCGTGTTGCGGAAGCACAGTCCCCCCCCTCAGGTTCACCTTCCCAGGTTAACACTGTTGGCTCTTTCAGCGCCGTTGCCGTCGTTGACACTGTTAGCACCGTTAGCTGCGAGGCTACGTTTCAGCTCTACTTAACCACTCAGTCATAAGTGGCCGGTAGAGGACCTCTTTGGCTCCTCTTTTAAAATCTTGAGTCTTCTAACTACTCCAGCAGAACATCCCTCAAGTTTCAGCGATTCTCTACATTTGGTCTGAAACAGTTTGAGATCTGTGGTTGATCTTCTCAAAAAGCCGCCAGTTCCTCTGACTCAAACATCCCAGATACCGTATTTTTTTTTGCCCAAATACCTCGTTTATTACTTCCTCCTAAACCACCAGCGAGTCACACCCCTTAGCGTGTCCTCAAGGTCGTGGCTGACCTGGGACCAGCACTGTTCCTGACCTCAGTTAGCGGTAGTTGGAGCTGCTCCAGCCTCGGTCGTGTCTCAGGCAAAGCATAAACATCCTGGTACTAAACATGTTCTGTTGGGCCCCCCCTCTACTCATCACTTCATAGAAACGCTGTAAATGAAAGCCTCTCAGAAATCTGTTGAAACCGTCAGACATTTCAGTGACGAGTAATTTGCTGGGGGGGCGGGGTTCTCTTGAAGTTAGTGAGTCATTTTGTGTGTGTGTGTGTGTGTGTGGAATTGCTGCACTCCTGCCAGTTATGGTGTTGATCTGGTTGCTTGGCAGCAGCTGGCCTTCGCTCAGGAATGGACCTCACTAAGAGAGGAGGAGGAGGAGGGGGGCTGAGGTTGTTTTGGTTCAAATCTATTCACAGAAACTAGTTTTATTTAGATATTCTCTTTGGCCACATTCTCTATTTTGAACGTATCAAAGTATTTATAAAAACCCATGTGGACCAGAGAGAGAGAGGGGGGGGGGGGGGTTCTATCACGTCCATCTGTGGTTTATTTTACTGCTTGTTCCTGTGTGCCTGCTGAGGTGTATGTTATATATAGTTATATTTAGGACGTCTTTGTCCCGGGCCAAACAAGAGGGCTCCGGCAGACGTCTGTCAATGTAAACCGCCCCTGAAGAACAATACATTGCAGCTACTCGGGGACACATTTCAGTATGTGCAAGACTTTCCCCCCGGAAGTCGGTTAGAAGAGGAAGTACAAAAACACATTTTAGAAAAAAAGGGTCGGTGGTGATCTTTCTGGTCATGGCGACTCCCCGCCAGTGACCGGGGGATCGCACCCATCTCCTGCCGAAGGTTTGAATATTTCGACGTTGATTACTACCAAAGCCAAGAAGCCCCCCCCCCCCCACAAATGTCAATAGGGACAGAATAAGGAGAGAGAGGGGGAGAGAGACAACGAGGGAGGGAGAGACTGACTGAGCCAGTGAAGAAGAGAGAAACTGGGAATGCTACCAGTGGAATAGTTCGACTGGAGCCCCCCCCGCCCCTCCTTAGCTTCATGTTTAGCGTACAGGCACGAGAGTGGTATCGAGTGTCGATCTCTTATTTAACTTTCAGTGAGAAAGTGAATGAACTTCTTTCCCAAAGTGTTGAACTTTTCCTTCAGTGAAAGTTTGTGTCATTAAAGTGATCATGGCTGCTTTTGCAAGAACTCAAGTGTGAAAATGAGAAAAAGCTGATTCTAACAATGTAAGCAGCACAATGTAGTGAACTGAAGCCAGGATGTGTCTGTGTTGTGTTGCAGCTCGCGGGAGGTGTGATCCTGGGCGTGGCCCTGTGGTTGAGACACGACCCCAAGACCAGCAACCTGCTGGAGCTGGAGCTTGATGGAGACCCCGCCCCCAGCACCTTCTACATCAGTACGTACCTCATCTGTCTCTGTCTGGTGGGAAACCTCTTGCTCAAAACTTTGGACACGGCTCAGTAAAAAAAAAAACATCTGTTGCCACATGCAGAATGTGTCTGTGTTTCTGCTCATTTCTGTTATTTCCACACAATGACACTGTCCTTTGTCCACCAACAAGACCCAGTTACATGTCACTCATTCAAATGGAAATGCTCCCCTATGCTTTTTAGTCTTTTATTTATTCTCATTAGACTCATTCTGCTCTGGTTGTGGAAAGACCGCTTTACGAGCTCAAAGAAAAAGCCATAAAGTCTGAATTATCCAATCTGTTAAAAAAAACAACAGCATGGAGACAGGAAGCCGTCTGAAAACAAAAACTCATATTGCACGAACAACCCATTCTATGTTTATGTCTGTCTACTTTACTGAAAAGGTAAAACAATTGGAGCTATGCTCAATATAGCACAAAATACACTACACGCCCATATTAGGTAGTTCAGACCACAGGATGTGACATTGGCCTGAATTTTCAAAATACAAGTTTACATTTAATATTTATCGTAGCGTGATTTGATCGTGGATTTCTGTCAAAGTCAAATAAAAAGAGTTTCAGCAGGTTTCCCTTTCACTATGCTGCTTAAAGAAAAAGAATGTGCCATTAGAAGAAAAGCATGTGATAATGTATCTGACTATTAATGGCCACAATAGGTGGATCTCCTTTAGAGTGCTATGATTAAGATGAATATGATATTAATTATTAAAAGGTTAGAGATGGAGTGTAGGACTTTAACACATAAATGAATAGGGCTGCCGCTACCGCCTAACTTTCTATCGATTAATCTATCAACTATTTTAGGGATTAGTCGATTAATCTGAGCAATGGAAAAAAAAATCACCATTTCATTTAAGTTGACAAACTGTAGGCTGTCATGGTTTATTGCAGCACAAAACAAAACGAAATAGGCTACTCTGAAATGTTAAATAGAGTAGAAATATGCTCCCCACTGGTTGTAATCTAAATCGCTCGTGTTCTTTGACAAAATGGAGCCAAACGGGTTTAAAACTCAGCGTCTGAACCAGAAAATACAGAGAAGGAAATTTAGGCAAAAGAAGAAACAACTTACATCTCGCTCAGATTTGCGTGTTTTTTTTTCCTGTACCTTTTTACAATGTTTTTCTTTCTGTGTGGTGAAAAGTCAGGCGGCCATGATGGAAAAAAGTGCTCGTTTCTAGTAAGGTTTGTTTGCCATCTATGTTCGGTTGTTCTGATCCACAACATTTTAGGATCAAATAATCAAATAATTTCAAATAGATATTGTTCCGTCTGAACTGAACAGTTCTAACAAATTATTACAATTATTTATCAAATATTTTTTTTATTCATTATTTACCTGCTTTGCCTACAAGTATCCCGCGATATAAAATAAAGAAAAGCCTAAAATTCTCACATCAGACATATTTTGTGTTGATTTATCGATTGTTTCAGCTGAGCAGAGTCCTGTCAATCACAGCGTCGCACATAACGTGCAGCTTGGGACGTACAAAGTGGACCTACATTATTAAACTAGTGTTAAAATGCGTCAGGACGATGAGTCGCCGCCACCCCGCCTTGCCCAGTTTCACCAGCGACTTGTGACCATTACTAACTGAGGACACGCGGCTCGTCATCTGACTCTGTTAAAAGTTGAACCAGCTTGAACCAGCATTAGTCATCTGCCTCGCGAGGAAGAGGAGAGATTAAAAGGGAGGATGATAGGATGACGGGGTTATTACTAAATACAAGTGAGCGCTCGCCCGTCTCCTTCTGAAACACAGCTACCAGAAGCAGAAGAAAATGGAGGGTGTGTTTGAGTCATTGTTTTCGTCTCCGTCCTCCGAGGCAGCATAGCTGTGGTTGTTCCATGCAACAACAAAAAATCAGAGAGGAACTACATTAGGGACTTTCTCTTCTCCAGCCTCAATGATTGCATCCTCTCCGTTACATAAAGCCTCCCTCTCATTCCCGAGGAAGGGAGAGAAAGCCTCGTCAGTCTCGGAAAAAATTCCTCACTGGCCCTCCCTTCTTCTTCTCCTCCTCCTCACCGGCCCCACCCTCCTCCTCCCTCCTCTGTGAAAGTTTTCCTCTCCCTCACTCCGCCTGGTTTCTTTCCGCGCCCCCCACACCCCCACCCCCCTCTTACAAGCCCATCTGGTTGTGGTTAGTGTCCGAGTCGCGCTGTCTCACTTCTCCTTACTTTTTCCTTTAGTCCTTCCCCTCCCTCCCTCAGTCTATCTCCGTCTGCCCTTTTTCTCCCTCACCCCTCTTCGTCCCCTGCTGCCAGGGGAGTCAATATGGAGTCCCCACATCTGCTTCTCTCCTTTCTCTCACCCACACCCGCTCGCAGACGCAGACACAATAGCCCGATGGCGGGGGCCGCCTCTCACCTCTCTACAGCACTAACCGCACCGTGAGTTTGACGGATCACTTTTTCTCTAAACTATCTCAACTGAACAGAAAAGGAGCTGAACTACAGCTGAATGATCCGTTGAAAGTGAAGTGAATGAAGAAATGTAATGTTGCTCACGCTTGATGTCTCGGTTCCTGTTACGTCATGTTGTTTTCCAGCTGCAGCGTTTGGTTTTGGTACCACCTCACCAAAAATAGAACCAGAGTCAGAGGAGCTTTCCCTCTTCACATGTGGGCGGGGCTCTTTTTGGGGGGGGGGGGGGTAATAGACTCGTACAGGATGGTACTGAAACTTCAGATTAAAGTATTCAACTGTATATTCCGCTCATGACCAAGAGTTGTGCTCCACGTGTTCATTGTCATAGGTTGTTCTTCCCAACATTAAACCACAGATTCACATTTCTAGGACTAGAGGATCACTATCTGTGGGTAAAATGAGAACAAATGGTCTTATTATAATGTAAGGAGAAACAAAAAACCAACTGACCGCACATATTATTGACGAGCAAGAAGCTACAAACTTTGATGAAGAAACAACCACAGATACAATCATGTGTGTATAGATGATATTGTTGGTCTCTTAAGCTGTAGGGTCGCTGTGTTTTATTGTGTTACATTTGAAGTCGGAATGCCGCTGGATGGTGATCTCAGATAGAGCGGTGCATACTACAAACAAACCATATCTGTCATCACGGACGTGTAACTGCACGTCTGTTAGGTCCTCTGGATGACAAGAGAGTGAAGTAAAAAAAAAAAAAAAAAAAAAAAAAGCTTGAAAGACAGATAAAAACTGAATAAAACAAAGTAGCTGTGTGCGAGCGTTTACAGTTTAGTCTGCAGCGCTGACACGCCGTCTGCAGGTTGACGAGTCTTCGGTGTCCTCCGTGAAGTTCCATCTTAAAAAGGTTCTTTTCCACAGCGTTGGCACCAGTCTGAAGCCAAGACCTTCTGGTGTCCTTACATGGCTGGATTACAGTATTAATAATAAACTACCAACAGCAGAAAGGAAGGCTGGCATTGTATAAGAAACAATAGTCGGATGACTCCGCCGCAGCAACTGAACGCATCTGGATAAAATATTTGGAGGTGCGTTGTTCCGTTAGCTTCCATCATTTAAGGGAAACCCCACCTGGTCTACATGTTGTTTGGAGCAGTGTGCGGATGAAACACAATAGGCTGAATTTCAGGAACGTACATGGAAGCATTTATTTAATGTTAATCTTAATAGTTTCTTTCCCATATAATTCTATAATAACAATAATAGCTCTACAAATAATTAAATAATAATAGAAGTATTAGATTCAAGTATATAATGTTAATTCCCTCTCCATTTTCTTTATTGGTATTTAACAGATAACAAAAAACAATCCCAACCCAGCCCTCCCCGTCATCCTCATGTGGTGATGAACAATAAAAATAAATTCTGAAGCAATTAAACAAATGGACAAACAATATACAGTAAACATTATTCAGATCGAGCTACAGCTACCGTAATAATCCGTTTACGGACACACAAGACAAATAATCCAGATGTGTAACCTACTTTCTAGTATTGTTCATCATGCTTACAAATAATATTTAAAAAATGGCCCCCATACCTCGGTGAAATCTCGACTTACTCTCCCGCATTTTAACCAGCTTTAAGCAAAACAGTACATCTTTAAGCCATCTGGCATGACATGGAGGTCTAGACTCCTTCTAGTTTAACAGAATGAGGCCAGATGTGTTGTGAACGCAATCGCATAATGAATATTAGGTCACCAATTACCATCGACACCAAATAGGGCAGGGCAAATAGGTTGCACATCGATAGTGATACCAGATGTCTCACTAAGGCCACATCCGCACTGAAACTCATAACTTTTGCTATGTTTATGTCTACGCGTCCACACTACTCCAATGGTCATGACAAGTTGAGAAAACGGAGACGTTTCAAAAACGCTGCGGTTGCCATTTTTAGTTTAAAATCCCCTGTGTTGCGTTATAGTCTGGACGGGGCCGAGACGGAGACGCCAACGTCTTGACTCGGTCTTTTGAGTCACAACCAGGCGGCAACCTCTGGTCCTACCGAGTGAAGCAGATGCAGAAGTGTCTTTAAACTTGCATTATCTCTGCTGACCAACAGGGCGCGACTCCAGTTGTAAAAATAAGTCTGATTGTATAGAAGTCTATGAGAAAATTACTCTACTTCTCACTTGATTTATTACCTCAGTAAACATGAGTTTACGGTCTCAATCTCTAGTTTCGGGTCTTTTTGAATACAGCATGATGTTCATTTAGTAAATTATGGTCCATTTGGAGTCAAATAGACCATAAAGAGGAGTATGCTTTAGGGCGTGCTTATTGGGATTGACAGGTCGCTGCCACTACTAGAGCCGTATACGGTGTCTCTACGTCACTCCTTCACATTCCGAATATAGTAATTGATGTTCATCGGATGCAAAAAAGCCAAGATGGTTGTATTCCAAGGCGCCGAACTCGAGGCTTCAAAGCGGCAATCCACAAACAAATGGGTGACACCACGATGGCTACGTCTACTTCTTATTAGTGCTGGGCAATGATTAAAATATTTAATCGTGATTAATCGCATGGATTTTTTGCGATTAATCGCATTGTTATGGCAAAGTTCAATAATGAATTCAAAAGTAGTGTATTGCACACTTTTATTTTAAAAGTACTGCTATATGAACAAAAGGGCAATAACATTTGGTTCACGAGATGCAGGTAGCATGTTTTATACTTAATGTGAATATAATTCATACTTTGTTGGCATCTTATTCTGAAAACCGGATGTTCATCTGAAGAAACCGGATGTTGTCTCACGTTAATCTTTCCACTAACTTTGAAAGTCCTTCGCTCGCTCCCGATCTGTGCCGTTTAAATGCGTTTACCGTGAATTTCAGCATATAGGTGCACTAACATGTAAGTGTCTGCTGAGTTGACCATGGAGATCTGAGTGTCTGCTGACTTTACCGCAGCGATGTCCAGTAGTCTCCAGGGAGAGCAACAGCTGGTGCAGCTTCTCTCTTTATTTCTGCCCCCCCTCGACCAGAAGCGGAAGTCGCCTTTTCTCTACGGCAACCCTGAAGGGACATCATATCTCCAATACAAAACAATAAACATGAGACAGTCTGTTACAATAATAATAAATTTATTAGTTTTTTTGTTTTTTAATTATTATTATTATTATTATTAATTTTTTTCCCATCTCAAAAGGCTCAAGGACATTCACACACACACACACACACACACACACACATACATACACAACTGACTATAGGATGTTTGCTGGCTTGTATCCCACTGTTCTTGTCATCCTCTTGTTGTTATGTCTATGTATTGTCTCTTGTCTTTCAATAAAAATTAAAAAAATTATAATAAATTGAAAAAATGCGTTAACGCGCGATAAAATAACTGTCGGTGTTAATTAATGAATGCGTTAACGCGAAATTAACGCGTTAACTTGCCCAGCACTACTTCTTATATACATATACATACGTCTACCGTCACAGCATGCCTTTCCCTGATTCGTCACACCCTATCACCTTCCAGAAGAAAACAAAACGACGTCAGCCATGATTACCAGAGACTAATTCAACAAACGACAACGAATCACAGCCGCTGCTGACCATGTCGTCTTCGCCAGCAGCTGTTCGGCAGATACATTCTGCATTTTACAATGCTGCTACTGCCTAAATGCGCAGGAGGCACGCCTATTTTAAAACAAAGAAAACGCATAATTAGTGTGGATTAGAGATCCAAACATTGTCTCCCAGGAAGGCTGGGGCAGATCCAAAACATGTGAAACGAAGTCGCTGAAAACGGTCAAGACTAGGATATATTTGAGATGAGACATGCAGCACGGCCATGAGACATCAAATGGCCGTGCTGCAACGCTGAGAGTCACGTAGCCCGTCAGCTCCTCTACGGACCGAACAAGGCGGACTCAGTTTGGATGGTGAATGGAAGCAGAGAGAGAGAGCATAATGGAAGAGGATCCACGGGAAGATTAAATCAAGGCAGACAGGAAAAGACATTTTAAGTAAATGGAATTATTGAGAGCATCATTTCGAACGAGCAGATGCATTAAATAGAAAGGACAGATGGGCGGTGGCAAAGAGAGGGAGCGACCGGGAGGGCCGAGCGGCACCCAAGGAGGGGAGGGGGGGGGACCGTGTCAGACTGGAGGGCCACAATGTAAGAGATGGAGGAAGCACTTGGTCGGTCTCCAAGATATCGATTTACAAATTGGCCTTTGTGTGTGTGAGTGGCTCTGTGGGTAGAGAAGGAGGTGGGGGATTGGGGGGGGGGTGTATGGGAGCAGTTAGTGGTCCAGAATCAAATTATGTGTGAGAGCTGACAAGCAGGAGTAATGATGGTGGGGCTGAGCGCACAAAGAGCTGCACTCCCCGATACGCCCAACACGAGCACGACGCACGACGTAGACCTGAAAGGTCTGGCTGGGGTGTGGGGGCGGGGGGGCACAGAGCTGTGCATCTTTCTCTGAGGAACATCTTCACAATCAAAACAGTGAAAATCAAGACAGCGAACACCACAGTTAACCAGCTAGTTGCTGCTTTTAACACTGGCTCTCGAGTTAGCTGTTAGGCTAGCTGTTGTGTCCGTGTACTGTGTTGACGGCAGCTGCTTGAGTTAATTAGGAGTTAACGGGATTCATTTGGAAGCAGTTGCTGCTTGTTTAAAAGCGGCAGGGGGCGTGTGATGTGGTGAAGACGAGTGACACCATTTTAAAACAAGGAGCCCTCAAATTCATTTTCCTTTTCACCATGTTCATGTTTGCTTTCTTTGGTCTGTGAAAGCATCAACTAATATCTGACCTTTCCGGGCCTTTCATCTGCACACGAACACACCACCAATTAACAGTTTCCTTCTGAAATGTGTCCGCACTTCCAGCAGCATTACCACACGGTTAAAACCAGATGTAATCACCGTGATAAATGACCTCACCCAAAACAAATCTCTGCCTGCACGTAGGGGTTTTTTTTTTCATGTAAACCACAGTGAATGGAAACTAAAACGACTGTATGGAAAAAGACATTCAACCATCTACAACACAGGAAGGTCTTTTATATTTATTGGACTGAAACCCGCCCCAAAAAAAAGGTATGTCTTTAAAGGAAAAAACAAGACCGAAGTGATTTTCTGCTGATTAAAGTGATTTTTTTCTTTTCCTCACAGGCTTTTCCAAAGCAATTGATATGGAAGACATTCAGAAAAAATACATATTTGTATGAATAAGTCCAATATTAACCTGCAAGCATCTGACAGCCTAACACAGGAAACACGCTCTGGGTGAGGAGAGTAATAAAAAAAAAAAGAAACAAGTGCAGCACCTGTTTTGTGTCCAGGATAAAAAAATAACAGGTTGAATTAGGGAGCCAGCAAAAAAAAACAAATACTCTTCCTGTGAACATAACTGGAACATGACTCACTTTAAACTACTGGCACCGAAACAAGATTGTGCCGTCTGCTGCCCGTCAGACGCTATTGCATGCACAGAGGTATTAAGAAATACTTCCACAGCGGTTTGAAAGCCTTTTAGTGGTTTCCATTCTTGTAACTGCTGTCTGCAGTAACTTCTTTGTCTCTGAGAAGAGGAGGGACTTTGAAAGCTCGTCAAGAACGCCGGGTTGTCATCGCAGCATTCCTGTCAGCCCTCTTATTTCAAACCTGTTAATGTGTGTGTGATGCCGACGGATATTAATCAGTCTGTCTTTCTGTCCAGGTGTCTACATCCTGATCGCCGTCGGCGCCGTGATGATGGTGGTCGGTTTCCTCGGATGCTACGGCGCCATCCAAGAGTCCCAGTGTCTTTTGGGAACTGTGAGTCACATTTAAAGGTTCCCTATGGAGTTTTAGATCTCAAGCAGCGGCATGGAGCTGTTTCTTTTTTTCTAAAGAGTCTAGACCTGCTCTTTTTTGAAAAGTGTCGTGAGGTAACCTCTGTTATGATTTGGCGCTCTGTAAATAAATAAAAATTCTCTTGACATTTTAGGTGGGTCCCAGTTTTTGTTGTTGACACGCATGTACACCCGTGCGCATGCGGTTGACGCCGTACTCGGCCCTACCAATGGTTTCACGCTGTTCCACTGATCAACAGGTGGCGGCAAACATGCCAAGATATGCTGCAGTGTGTCAGCAAGAGCAGGGAAGAAGAAGACTGCAAGCCAGTTAACATTAATGTAAACAATGCTGGATCTTAAACTACTTTACTTTAGAAAAAGCGTCTGTGCAAATGTTCTGTGAGGATGGCAATGCACTCAACATGATTGTTAGAGCTGAGGGATTCACACAGTGTGTTCTGGTGAGTAACGCTGATTGTGAAAACTCCACGGGGCCCTATTTCATCTCTTGTTTCAAAAGTAAAACCGTTGTTTGCTAAATCCCTCCGGTAATCTGACGTTTCTCTTCTGTCCCGCAGTTCTTCGCCTGCCTGGTCATCCTGTTCGCCTGCGAAGTGGCAGCCGGAATCTGGGGCTTCATGCACAAAGGCACCGTAAGACTGCAAACGCACTCAGGATACAGGATACAATACTCTGCAGTTTCTGGAACTGTTTGGATCACATGAGTCAGAAACGATCCAAAAGGCAGTCACCACTGGAATCTCATTCTACAAATAGTTTAATACTAATAATATTAGTGCAGCCGGATCTTTATCTGCAACTGTGCAAAAATACAGGTTGGCTTTAAACAGGAAGAATAGACATGAATTTAAAAAAACGCTGCACACACAGGGAGGCGTGCACCTGTATTATACAACCACAATAACACAAAATCTATTTTTTAAACCTGTTTCTTTAAGGTGACGATATAACAGATATTGAAAGCTTATTTCTAATACCTCAATATAAGCTTTGAATGTAAAAAGCAAACAGAAGTGACGGGAGAGGTTGGAGCTAAGTACAACCGAACACTGCTCACGACCAGAATGTTACAATGAACCTTCATGAGCTAAAAACACACCGTGAAAGGGTTCAACGTGGAAGACGGAAACACGGATTACTATTATTATTATTATTATTATTATTATTATTATTAACTCCCAGATAGCGACCTGTCAATCAATAGATGGTCACGCCTTAAAGCTTAACCTGCTTTATCTTTTATTTTTTCTAAATGGACCATCATTTACTAAATGAACATCATGCTGTATAGAAGAAGACTTTGAAACTATAGATTGAGACCATAAACTCATGTTTACAATGTTCACTGAGGGAATAAATCAAGAGAGAAGTAGAGTCATTTTCTCATAGACTTCTATACATAGACTATAATCGGAGGCGTCGACTATTGGGCTACTATAAAGAATGCAGGTTTCAGACACTTCTTGTCAGACCCGGAGGTTGCCGCCTGTTTTTAAACGCAGTGGTTCTCAGTACGAATGCCCTTTCATGTCATGCGATGCTTATTGTTTTTAGTGTCTCTGTCCCGGGACGCTTTTTTAAGTTTGAGGCTGAGCCCGGAGAAACCTCTGTTTCCTGTTTTAGGTGTCGAAGGAGATGATCAAGTACTATGACTCCGTGTACGAAAAGGTCGTCTCAGAGACCCTGACCACCGACCCGAGCAAGAGAAAGGCCGCCGCCACCGTGCTCAGGGTCTTCCACGAGACGGTACGAACATGCACTCTCAAATGTATCATTTTCTGTTCAAGTCAATTGTACTGTAAATGTGTTACTTTTTGTGTATATTTTTAACTAGGAGAAACATAAGTTGAACTTGTCCTAACAAAGGACATCGGAGAGTCGAAAAATGATTTGTAGGCAATTTAATTTGAATCCTTTCAACTTTTTTGTGAACCTATTTATGTTTAGCATTCAACTTTTGAAAGTTACTAAAATGATAAATATCTAAAGGTCAAAGAATCATCTTTGAGTGGCTTCCTCGTTACTGTTGAGATAGAACTTAATTCATCCTGAATGGAATGTTCCACTCAAACGTTGATTCAGCACATATTCACTCACTGAAATAATGATAAAGGATATCTGTGAGAGTTAGCAGCCTAACTCTCCACTGACGTGACGTTGTGGAATACACGACGAGGTGCGTGTTCCGTGATTTTAACGGATGATGTTGAGACCGATGACATTCGTTGACTCACATTTGGAGCGCTTCCACTGTTTTGGATGGAGATAAAAAAGGTTTATCAGCACAAAAGATCTGTTAGAAAATAGCTCATTAAAAATAATGTACGGTGAAAAGTCAAGCAAGAATCCCAAAATGCACTGCGGGAGAAAAAAAAGCCCCAGATCGTATGTTTGCGGCTTAAATCAATTCACTCTCAGATTCGGGGGTTATCTTTTTATTCATTTAAACTAGGCCATCTTGTTTTGTTAATACGTGGGTAATGTAGTTTTTTGAGATATCTGCCGTTCCACATGCCGGTCCAAATGACAATACCTGTACCCATAAAGAGATATTGATACCAATAGAGTACTTTATTTTCATACTACTTCATTCGATACCCGTCCCGTGAATGGAACCATTCAGTTGCGTTGATTGCCGCCGCCGCCGCATTTATTTCCATCAGACGCCACAGGCATGTAGTAAAGCCGTGCTTTCCAACATTCCGGTGGAATCCTGGCACGTTGAACCGCCAAGCTCCGTCAAATACGCCGTGCCCCACTTCAACACACCACAATCTGCATGGACCATGAGCAAAACCATACGAATAAGTCTTTTTTTTTTTTTTTTTTCTAGATCTGGGTACAAAAAGATTGAAATATGGGTATCGTTTCAATGGAGAAGTCGGGATACTACTTGGTGCTGGGTTATTTCTGTTGACACCAAAAATAAAATATATATATGGAATACCGACACCCAGCCCTACTTCTCATAAAAACAGCTGAGCTAACATAAACCGAAACTATTGTTACATTATATCGGAGACTTAGTTATATCCTCGCAACAAACATTTGAAAGAGGAATTGAGAATAGGGAGAACTTCTGCAAACCAGTTTCCCCCACCTGAGGAGCTTATTGATAATAATAATAGAAGTTATTAAAAGACAAACCTGACAATGTGAAGTGCTTTAAACTGAGTAAGAGGGCACCGTGTAGAGGACAGGGATCGTCACTGTGTTGCTTTATGTGTTTCAGCTGAACTGCTGCGCTAAAGGCTACGCGTCCTCCATCCTGATGCAGATGTCGGACAAGTTCGGCCTGACTAACATCTGCCCCAAATCTGGGATGTCAGTTGTAAGTGTGATCGTCCACGTCAACACTGTCACGCACCGACCGTCACAAGACATTCTGAGTTAGATCAAATAGTCAAAGTTAACACGAATCATTATTCATTTATTATTCATGTCATCAAGATGTAATGGAGCATTGGAGAAGAATGAAATGTAACACGCCTCTGTCTATAATGCATTTTAGACGGTACTATAAATGCTCCATGATCGTCTGATAGCTCTGTATAGTTATAAACACTCATAAATATTCATAATGCTTTAATCATAAACACATTATGAAGCATTTTATTTCAAAAGACTTCATGATCGCTGGTCACTGACCTTTTCTTTTGGCAAGGATCAGAGTGTTATTATTCCCATAGTTATAATACATTATAATCACTGTTATAATGCATTATAATGTGATTACAAGTTACTGTAAGTGGTTATTCTTTGCTGTAAGTAAAGTACAAATTATTACACTACAATTTGTTAGTTGCATAGATATTTAATATTTGTTTAACTTAAAGCAAACGATGACCCTTATAGTAACTTATAATCACATTATAATGCATCACTGCAGTGATTAAAGTGCATTGTGAAGAAGATTGTAATGTATTACAAGTATGAGAATTACAATACACTATGATTCTTGCAAAAAATATAATAGAGTGACAATAAGTCATTCTAAAATGCTTTATTATGTGTTGTGATTATTGTTATGAAACATGAATATTCATGAGTACTTATTTATTATATTTATACAGCGCTATAAAGCAGATTGTATGGCATTGTCAGCATGTTTATAATGCATTGTCGGCACAGAGAGAGTGACTGAATGAACATTTGTAATGTTCCACTGACGGGTCGGAGACAAAGAGTGAAGTTCTCCCATCAACCCGTTTGTTGAATCACACAAAATAGTGCCGGGAAAACAAAGTGTCACAGCAAACACAGCGTCTTCTTCTCCAGCTCCATTCTCTCACACACACACACACACACACACACACACACACACACACACACACACACACACACACACACGACAGAGCTTACGTCACGGACAGCAAAGCCCTCGACTGACTCTGTTAATACAGAACTCCCAACTGAAAAGGGTCATACAGAATTTAAAAGAAAAGAACACTGACGTGACGTCGTCGTCTGTTGATGGCTAAACCAATGGGAGTATAGAGTTCCAACAGAACTCTGCGGTGTGGAGAATCTCCGAGGGCTGCTTCAGTGCAAAGTCTTCATGGAAAAATATGCGGGGGAAAGTTATCTGTATTCACCACTTGTGCTGCACGGGGGCCTTAAACTTGATTTCTTGGCAGCACATCGACATTACTGAAATGAACCGGAGTCCCATCCAAGACTCCCCGGTGTGCCAGGGCTGTCTTGTGTTCCGTTATATGGAACTTGTGTTTTTCCAGCGCGTGTAGCCAATATCTTTACAAAATAAAAGCACTGGCCTTTACCACAAAAGTAATCGGGTGACAGAAAACATGGACTGAAAAAAGGTTTATTTTTTGACTGTGTGACTAAATACAAGGGATAGGTTTATAGAAGGCTGCAACCATTGATTTCACACACTTTGCAGCATTAGTTTAAAGTGGAATGGCGCCAATGACTTCGTCATTCCAGCCAACAAATTCGAGGGCTAACTGGTCACTGGTACAACTATGAAATAGTACTTAAATACTAATAGGCTAAAGTAAAATGTCATCTTGACCTCAAAATCAGTACAGGAGGCAATCAATAAATGATTGCTGCTTTGAAGCGTTTATAAATGTCGTGTTTTCTCGGTTCTCCTTTGCAGGATTGCCACAAGAGGATCGAAGAGTTGTTCACAGATAAGATCTACCTGATTGGTATCGCCGCCCTGGTGGTCGCAATTATTATGGTGAGACACGGTGTACTTATTCCATGAATCCAAAAGCATACAGAAGGAGCCATAACGTAACCACCATAACACAAGTTCAGTAGCTGCAGCTACGTCGAGGCTGACAGCTGTGGCCAAGACACATTTATTGATCAGAACATGTTTTATTTGTATGACTGCTAGTGTTTAGACTTTGAGCATGTTTATATTCCTGAATGTAAGGTAAGTTTCTCTGTTTCTCTTTGTCTGTCTATTGGACATTTTAAACTACTTGGTCTGGATTAAAGGATGAGACTTCTTTGAAATCTATACTGCTGTCAACAAATCGCACAAGATCAAACCCAACAATGCGTTAGTCCATCCTTTCATACTCTCTGACTGCGCTACGCTGCTAAAGGGACTCGTGCTAATTAGTTCCTACTAAAAGGGTAAAGCGTATAGTGTTCCATGTTTTTTAAAAAGGCTCTTAAACAGCTGGGCACTGTAGTCTTTAAAACACTGTGACATTGTTTTAATTGAGGACAGTGGTTTCTAATCGGCACTTCTGTCCCGTGTTTCGTCGTCCTAGATCTTCGAGATGATCTTCAGCATGGTGTTGTGCTGCGGGATCCGCAACAGCCCGGTGTACTAAAGCAACGGGCCGCCGAAGGAGGGACGAGCACGCAGCGTCTCCCGTCTCGCTCTTTTTCATTTTCTTTTATAAAAGCAGGAAACGTTACATATATTGCTTGCTGGATTTAGTCGGCTCTTTGAGAAGACAACGTAGACCATCCTCCATTGAGCATTTTAATTACACTGTCTTTTTTTTTTTTTTTTTTTTTTTTTTTTTTTTTTTTTTTTTTTTTTTAGTTAGTGACAGATAATGTTATGCATATTTGACCAGTGCTATCCTAACCCCGATATGTAGATATTATATCACACTGTTGCACATGAATGACGTCCGCTGTTGCTCTAATCCTTTAGTGACGCATTAGTGGTTTTACTGCTTCCTCCGCCTATGAACATGGTCTTATATTCTTGGATTTAATGGATGTTTTTTCACTGTTTTATGTATAAACTGTATATAAATATCTATATTAACAGTGCTTTATGACTGCCGAAGCATGCAAATTGCATTGCAGTAGATCCTTCTCCTGTATCCTTCCTGCTCTCTCTGCTTGTCCGTCTTGCTCTAGACTAAATCAGATGATGGCGCGCGTGACCGGCACCGGCACCAGTGAAGCGCTAGAGTCGGCCTCGCCGCGCCACACGAGAGGTGAACACACACGCAGCCCCTGTCCTACAAGACCGTTGTCCTGCTTCACACCCACGCCGCTGTGTGATGTCTGCAGGAACTGACTAAAGAAGGAATCTCAGTTATTTCTTGGATGCTGGAACCAAAGTCAAAGTGACCCGATGTCTGTCGTTTTGGCCCCGTGGAGGTTTTTGTTGACCATTTGTCTTCGGCCGTTTGTTGTTCATTGTGTGTCCAAAATTGTCTTGAGTGCTCAGTTGTATGAAAACCTTGAAGGAAAGTTTGGCCTAGCCTGGTCCCAGACTTAGGAATCACCACCTGCATCACAAATTTAGTCAAAAAGTTTCAACTGTGGTAAACAAAAGGCCATTCCTTCTGAGTGTTATCTTTTTGTACGATTTTCTCCCGACAACAACAGGAGTAGAAATATTTCTGGAAACCCGCCCCTTTGGTGCAATCTTTATTAAATAACTGATTAATCAAAAAGAGGAAAAAAAAACTTATAAGTTTTATACAACTGTGCACTTCTTTGTGGAGGCAATGTGCTTAACACTATAATCTCTTAAATCAGAGGACTCAGATTGAAATATGACCCGTAACATCTTCACGTGAAGCAGGTTGCCTCACATCTAGCGGTGCTCCTGATGCATCCATGTATTGGCCACGTGTTTTTTTTTCCCAACAATCTTGTTGACCGCCGACACATCAGCCACCTGTCCCAGGTTGCTCAGCTCTGTAGGAACTTAATTGACTACATGCTCGTAGAGGAAGCGCACGGTGAGACTCCAGCTCGTAGCCAGCGCTACCGCAGAAAGAGCCTTGGTTTGGCGCTCTGAAAATCTGGGTTTGCCTCGATCTGGTTAAGTCTAGTCCTGACTAGTCCCGTCTCATCTGACCTGCTTGTGTCGTTGTACTATCCCTCCTCGTCCCCGCTCGTGGTGGTAACTGTTGCAAGGCGAAGAACGGAGACTCCTGGAAGTCACAACATTCGGAGAAGAAGTAGTTCCAGCATGTAGCTCCCCTTAAAATGCAAAACCTATCCGTGGTATCTCGTGATTAATTATCTCGTATTTGATTGCATTTAATTTCACAAGTGGTCACTTGATTCTGTTTCTGTGACTGTCGCAGGCTGATTGCATTGGTGATACTGACCACCGACAACAGGTCAGTCTCACCTGCCTGCTGAAGTTCAGCCAATCGGATCGCTCCCACCTGGTCAACCGAACGTGCCGTTTATCTAGTCCAGCAGTGCTTCTTTTTTTTAATTTTCTTTTTTTTTTTTACTTCACCGCAAAATATTGTTGTCCTGAGGTCTGCCACACCGCACATTAAGTCACATCGTCTCGTGTAACCTCACATATCATCGCAGCTTTTTGTCGGTGGACTAAATTTAAAAAAACATGTCTCGTTAACATTTCATACTTAAACCGAGAAACAGTAAAATAAATAATGTCTTGTAATATTTACAGCTCTGACGTACTAACAAAAATCATGAAGGCTGTAGAAAGACAATATATGCCTTTTTTTTCTTCTTGTATTGTGATATCAGTGTTTGGTACATCGTCAAAGGAGTCGAGAAAGAAAGGGAGATATTTTGTGGCAGTGGTGACTGAGAAGAAGTCAAACCTTTCAATGCATCAGCTAGCTTCTCCCCCAGGAATCATTGGAAATAAAGTAAAGAATTATGACAACAGCCACCAGTGCGGTGTTCCCCAATAACGAGGGCGCTAGCTGTGTTTCTCCGACTGCTGTCCATGTTGCCGCCCTTTTTTTAAAATTTTGGGAACTGACACTCGGGACCCACTGCCACTTGGATCTCAGCCCCTTTCTACTCTTGTAGACTTCGGTTTGCCCAAATATAAAGGGATTAAATGTATTTTACAAATAAAACAGGTGGTCTTGTCTTTTGTTTTTAGGATTTCTTATCGTGAAAAGTAGCAACTGCGACTTAAATTACAAGGATGATGATAAAAGAAATGGAAACCGGCCATCCTCGCCAAGGATCACCGGAGCCAGTGATGTCTGTAACAAGGCGACTAACAAGGCCTGTTCTTGCATCTTAGGGTGAATGAGAATAATATTTCTAAAGGTTTTGTTAATTTATTATTAGGGATTTAACTGAATTAAAACACTGACTCTCAAAACTGTTCAGTTGGGGCAAAGATATAGATGTCATCATAGACCATAGCCCTGTTATCTCCAGACTAGTATTAACGGGACTTTATTGGATTTAGAAATGACCCCCCATGTCTGTGTTACATGTGACCCATTCACATGGGATAAGTGGCATCTGCATTTTACAAAGGCTCTGCATAACATCTGCTTACATCACAAATATAATGCTATATTATATTTATATATACTATGACAATTCCTATTATATTATACAGGACTATTTCAGCCTCCTGAATTTGCACCAAAGATGGCGTCAATACTTCTACCAAACCAAGATGCACACTGGACTAATGGTATCACATGACCTCTGTGTTTGGTGAAATGTGGTGGAATTATTTACATGACAGATTACAGACAGGGCAGATTCTCACAGAATTCATAAGAAGCCGACCTCTACAATGAATACAAACTATATATCCCCAGGTAATACTAGTATGTGGATAGGGCTAATCATTTAAACTTGAGTAGCCTTTTTTTTTTTTACTGTCAGACAAAGTTCTCCATACAAATTAGAGCCCTTTCTCCAGACAAGGAATACAAAACACTGCTTGCTTCATCTATCTGTTAAAGTGATTCAGACGTGGGTGACTTTGACGTGTACGCTTCTTATAGCTTTATTCTGACAGGACAAGAAGCTTCTATGGGAGTATAGTGATGACAAAAGATTTGAAAGAGCACAAAACAAAGTTTAAGCACTACTCGGTCTGTGAATCAACCTTTACGAGTGCACATGCGCAGATCACAGTAGAAATACATGTGTGTACCGGGACAGAACTGTGAGTGAAATGTGATGATTTGATCAGCAAGAGGAATCGTGTACCGCTATTTGAGCGGTCAGTCGGAAGGGCCCTGAGCACAAACTTCCTCAGAGCCGTGTCACCTGCTCAATTTGACCAGGAAGTGAAGGGTCATCCTTTTAGCGGTGGCAGTGGCGTTTTTTAACCACCAGATGGAGAGAGAGAGCTGTATTTGGTGTCAGAGTTATTTCACAGAACTTCAAGCCACAGTGCAGATCCACACTCAAATGTCGACCTGCACACAGAGTAGTGCTCACAATTTGCAATCTCAAATCACTGTACTTACTGTATATATATATATATATATATATATATATTACACACATATTTGTCACCTGGTGCACAAGAGACAGTGGACAGAGACAGTTAGGAAGAAGACTGTTTTCTGTTCTGTCTGCGTTAGTGATGGATTTTGAAACGTATTTTGTCATTTAGCCTTAATCAATGACCATTGTGAGTGAAATTGACGCTCGCCAACAATTCTAGTTTCATCATTTAATTATTAGATAACAAATTCATATTCTATTATTATCATGATTAAACAGATTTTGTGCAAAAGAGATGATTGAGATAAAACTTTTTTTTTTCAAAGGTAAAAGAAATGTACCCTAAAGCTTACCAATAACACGTTATATGTCGTTTATTGATCTTTGGACTGATCCAGGTTAACTGTTTCCGCTCTTTATGCTAAGCTAACTGTCACCTGGCTGTCGTAATATTTAGCCAACAGACATGTAGGTGCTATCAATCTTCTCATGTAATTCTAGGCAGGAAAGAAAATTTCCCAAAATGTAGAATGATTTCTGTAACGACACCTAACATCACGAAACACTAGCTATATGTGATCTTTTCATAATTCATAGTTAAGTGAAGTAACACATTATTGATAGAGCTCGACATCAAACAACGATCGGATGAATCAGAGGGAGTTCTGTCTTTTCAGAACCATGGACAATGGGATCCAGGTGAGCTTCTACAACACATCTGGCGCTAGTTATGCCTTTGAAGCTACACACCCTGGAAACCGTTCCTTTGTTAACTCCAACAGTGCAAATACAAGTCACATCGCATGTGATGGGTGTTGGATGCAGATCAGAACCTGCACAATGTTCATTTTGTACATGCCGGGTTGAGAGTAACGCATGAATTTGAACGTAAAAAACAAAGTAAACTTGCGTTACACATGCTTCATACATCATGCTTGTTATAAATATATAGGCTTGCTGTAACTCCTTTTTTTTAGAAGTCACTCTCAGTGTGTTGTGTTCCCACCTTCTCCTTGCTTCGTTAACATATCCGGCCGGGCCGCGTGTGCTTTCGGTGCATGTGAGCGTGCCCCACCGGTTAGCTCACGGCCGCTGCTCTGCACTGCTGTCATACGGCGGTTACAGATTGTACGATTTCTTTGGAATAATTGACTGCGTTTGTCCCTCTTGTACCTCCCTTATGATAGTGGAGGTCTTAAGTGCCCCAAATCCACTTTGGTAGTATTGGGTTCTATCATCCAGATACATCCTGGTGCTCTAAGCACAAGGGGGACACCTACTGGACCAATTATGTCCTTACACACACTCTCCAGAAATGGCTCCTACATACCAGCCCCAAATAGTAATGACCAGCCAACAATAAAATTCTAGGAATTACAATTTAAGATGCCATAATCAAAATAATACAACACATTTCAGTTCCATTTACACAGGATACTTGGGGAGACCTGCTACCCTGAAGTTTCATAGAGCAGGCAAATGATATTAAATGGACTTCCTTTACTCACAAGGACTATCGAAGCATTCACACCCATTCACACACCGATGCCACAGCCTTCGGAAGCCACTTGTGATTAAGTGTCTTGCCCAAGGACACATCGACAGGGGCTAGAGGAGCCGGGCATTGAACCGCCGATGTTTTGATTGAGTGACGACCCGCTTCTGAGGCACATTCACCGGCCTTTCAAGGACATAATACTTTATACGTGCTGAATGCACAAGTCTGATCACGGAAGCCTCCATGACTCGTCCGAGTGGCACGGACCCTTGTGGGCCAGTAGGATCCATCCTGACCACGATATCTCCAGGCTTTAGATTCCTCCTTTTCTTCCAGGCCTTGGCCTCAGGAACCCGTTTGATCAGCCAGGTGACAATCTCCTTCCTTTTCAACTTTACTTTCTTCCTCTGTGCCTTGTTCTCCAGCTCTCTCCGTCTCTGCTGCACCTTCTCCCACTGCTTCCTCCACTTCTTCCGTTTGAGCTCAGCCTCCTCCTCAAATTTCAGTTCTGCCAGTTTCTTCTCCATTTCTCCTTCAACCATATAGCTCTTTCGTTTGAAAGCACGGTTGTTCTGCTTACTCAGCGTTTCTTCCAACCGACACAAAGAAATCCTGGAAGCAACTTCTGAAAGACCACAAGTTACCAATCCCAGCGCTGTTCTTATAGCACATGGGCCATCCCCATGGCTGCCAATGAACGACCAAGGTTCAAACATTTTGGGAGCGTTGCTTCCAATCAACGGGTCAATATAAGCCGTGATGCTGGGAGTTCATATACCTTTGACAGGTACGGCCATCTTACCAAATCTGTCAGCACTTACAGGCATTTTCCTCTGGGTGAGGATTTAGGGAAGCTTATCGAAGAGGTTGGTCCCAAACCCAGTGTAAAAATAAGGAACGTATGAAATTAATATAACGATTTGGGAACCGTTTTTCGAAAATAAATGTATTTTTTATCAATTTATGTCTTATTTATTATTATTGTTGTTGGCAATTTGTTATAATCTTTAAAATGCCTGACAAAAAAAGGAAGATCCCATGTTAATGTAATCTCTGTGACTTTGATGTTATTCTGGATGAGGACGCGTTTGTTTCTTTGTTATCGGGAGTCATTTGAACAATGAATAAAGATATAGCTGGGGGGGGAGGGGGAAGAAATCCCTGTATTTGGCTGATGTTTAAAACTGTTTACTCAGAAATACTCTTAACCTTCTTGGACGCACGACAAGTAAACAACATAAGAGCACAGCCATACATTAAAGCTGCAATGTGGGTCAGTGGTTTTCTCTGTATAGGTTTGTGAAAGCCTCCTGGGTCTCAGGGTTGTTTCCCAGGGAAGAGGCTCTCTTCCCCCTGACTTATTGTTGCTCCTCAGACCCAGACTTAGTTCCTCAGACCAAACCCCCAACAACTCTCATGTCAGCTTCCGGGGTGATGAGGTTATTTCCACATTCCTGAGCCCTTAACCCAATCCTGATCAACAAAGAAAGCTGCGCTTATTCTAGCAAAACTGTCATTCATTTGAAATGTTGGCCTAAAAAGGACATTATGTAAGCGTTGGATCCAGAGGTGAATGACAACCTCACCTCACCAGTAGCATTTTGTGTTTACATGGAAACATGTTCTTCTGCTTCTCATGAGTATTGGGAGGAATATTTTATTTTTATTGTTTCAGCTGAACTTCACTCCACCCTGCCTGCCGACGGCTCCAGTCATCATTTCGGTTGGGATAGGAATGATTATTTTTAAGGTATTGCGCAACATACGCACACGTGTGACGTAATATGGAGGTTTACTAACAGTTGATGACACATTTATTACATCTGGTCACAGTGAGCGCGCGTTTTTTCTGCCTGAGATCACTGGAGATTCAAACAAGAGTGCCGATGAGTTTACACAGCACACGCTTGCTCACCTGCGGATTTACTCTTTCCAGTTTTAGACACTCCTCTTGCACTCCTCGTGATCCTCTGGCTTTCGCGTCACCTCAGAGAATCTCCACACAATAGACCGTCTCCACTCTAGAGTTTTAGGCTATCAATGTCTGACTTAAATCATCCTAAATAGACCCTACACATTGTTTTTATTATTATTTGCATTGTCTGCCACTTTGTGTTTGTTGCTCACACCACTGGGAGTCACCAAAGTCACACATCCTACACAGGAGGCCTTCGCAGCAGCTGTCAGATTCAGGCTGACAGATGATAAAGAAGAAAAAAAAATGTCAGGTGAGGACACCAGGGCCATTCACTTCCAATCATCTGGATTTCATCAGACCTGCCGGTAAGCCGTACCCACCGTGCACTTCTGCAGCAGCCCTCCTCTCTGGGAAAGTGTATGTGGCAAGTCAGCTTAGAGTTTGTTTACTTTGCAAAGAACCTGAGTTCATCTGAGGTGTTTTTGATCACTCATCCATGGCCAGCGTCAACACACGCGCTACAAACTTCAATATGGTTTTAAAAAATATATTTAAAAAAGGCTGTGCAACCGTCTCATTTTTTTTTAGAACGGTTCCATTAATTCAAACATCTTTCATATTGATATATTGCGACACGTGTTCGCTTACATCAGCTACAAGCAGATAGAATGTTGCAAACAAACAAAAAAAATACGAGAGAACATTTTGCAGTTGGTTATTTTTGCAACTCGCCACCAGCAATAAGACCTGCCTGTGTTGCATGTGGTGATAAACAACATTTCATCAGTAGCCGGTGTTAATTGAAAAGAAAACAGTAAACCGGGCGGCGTGACATTTCATCTGCTGTCGCAAGTCAGTCGTGAACGTCATTTCTCGGAGACGCGCTCGTCCTGACAGTCACTAGGTGGGTGGCTGTTGCCCCCCCCAGACACCCCTGAACGTCCCGCCTCCAGACAGTTAAAGTCGCTGACCGGTCTCCATTTCGCAGCAGACGCGCAGACAGCGGAGCCTCACACCGGTTCGAGGCCCCCCCCCCCCCCCTCCCCGCTGCAGGACCTCGTGCCCCCTCTACTTTTACTTTTCTTTCTTTGTCCCGAGTGTGACCTTGTTTTTTTTATTAACACTGAAAATGAGTGTGGCGGTGGCGGAGGGCTGTTTTCTGTCCGCTCTTCAGCCCAAAACCTCCTGCACCGCTTACGTGGTTCCCTCGGACGGCCCGTCTCCGGACCCGGTGGCCAAAGCCAGGAGGGTCCGGGAGCAGGTCCGGATGCGGCTGGCGGAGAAGAGGTCCTCCTCCCTGCCCCGTCTGGACGACGCGCTGATCGGATCAACAGGTGAGCCATCGCATCGCGATCAAAAAAAAAAAAGTCCTCATAAGATGTTGTTTTCCAGCCAACATACAGCAGGTTGAAGCACCTACTGCTGCTGCCAGACCATTACATACATAGTATGCAATAACATGGGCCGGCTCACTGGTAGAAAACGCACTGATAAGGAATTAAAAAGCAGAGTGATGTAAGGTGCAGCTGTACTCACACAGATAGACCAACATTTGGGCTGTTGATGCCACTTTGTCTGAGTGATCAATAGGCTGCACTGGAATGAAGAATTACAGCTGCTATGGTCTTTTGTTTTACCACTTAGGTGATGGAACAAGTTGAAAACACAACAGTGACTTAATATCAGCCAATAACATTAGGTTTTGGAAATGTCTGGCCACCTGATGGGTGTAAAGTCTGACGTCCGGTCTCCTTTTTAGCTCCATTTTTAGTCTCCACCATCTCCTCCAGCAAACGTCCGATCACTTAATGGCTCCCGTGTGAATTAAATAGTCACATGAGCGGTTGTTATTAATATAAACGATATTGAAGTCCAACAATTGTTTTCCAATGAGAAACACTTTAACTTAAAAACCAGGGCACAGGCGAGTGATTTCACAGATAGATGGTCAAACCAACTGAAACCAGTGAATTGTTAGACCCTTTGCAGATTGATTTGTGGGTTTGGTGAACCGTTGGCTCTGTAACACTTTTATGATACCGTATTTACCACAATGCTCCTGTAACTATCCCCATAGTGCGTTTTCTTGCTTAACCAACACCTGAGTTTATTGTATTGTATTTATTGAATCAAACTTGATTTGATTGTTTAATACTCTGGCTGTTGTTCCTATTTATTCCAGTAAGAGCGTCCATGGGTTTACAGTGTTTTACATTATAGCGTTACTTCACAATGTTGTGACAATTATGTGACTTTCTGTGTAAGTTAGAGATGAAACAGCAGGTATCTGTTTTAGGCCAGTGTATAATATATGCTGTTTTTCTTTGATCTGAGTACTCTGAGGGTTAACCGTATCACCTTCCTATAGTGTAACTGTACACCCTTTGAACACACAAGAGGGAGCTTCTGGGTTTGGCTCCAGAGGCAGGAAGGATTATGGGGGTAAATGTAACCATTAAACGGCCTTACTCTAAAAGATAAGCCTCTGAATTGTTGGCGCCCGGTCGATAACAAAGACTAAGAAAAAAGTCACTAAGTCAGCAATGCTCTACCTTTAGTTTTCCAACCCCGACGACGTCATCAGGGGTCAACTCAGCTCGTGTTTGACAGAAGATCTGCATTACAGACCGGAGGTGAAAGAAAGCATGATGGAAGTGGGCATTTAGGAGGCAGGGAGGGTCAAATGAGGGATGCCATACAGTTGCATTATGGGAAAATGTAATGCTTCTGTTGCTTTGAAGAATTGTATCTCCTGAATTTTCGAAGATGTAGACGTCATTGGGACAAATTAAGCCAACAGCTAATTATTTTGTTTCTGAGGACACGCAGAGCCGCATACCAAAATCGAATGTCACGTACCCAACTGTCTGGAGAGAATATACGCGCACCGCTGCAACATTATTATGCATGCAGTCACGAAGGATCTCGTCATGGTGTGGAATTTTGAACAAAATAGAGACCTCAGGACTGTGTTGGGCTCCAGCTTTGGCTCTGATAATATGACAGGGGCGCAGCAAGAGAGCTGTTAGCATCCCTGTGTTAAAAGCTAAGCATGCACACGGTTATTATGGTGGTCCAGTTTGTTCCAAAAGTCTCCAGAGGATTGATGTTACAGGACTCTAGTGGAAAGACTACTCAGTTTATTCTTGTCATTTTACTTTAAAAAGTCATTTCGTAGTTTTTTGATAGGAGATGACACATTTATAAATGTATAAAATGTCACAGTTTTACCCAGAATGTATGTAAAAGAGGGCAGAATAGCTGTTTATATATAGTTGTGTGTAGTTCATCTGCTACACAGGTTGGTTATTTGTGCACTATGAGAACCGCACCATGAGTGTGTTACTTCCTGCTCATTTCCTGTTTTTTCCCCTCTCTATGGAAACTTTAATTAAGACATCACAGGTCCGGTCAGGATGGTCTCATAGTTATGACTGTTCACACGTAGAATGAGAACAGCTGCACAGAGAACCACCTCAACCACCACAAGTAAGGGAGAGGAAGGAGAAATGGACCGCTACTCCCTCTCCTGTCTGATAAGACGGCCGCACCTCAGTTTGACGCAACACGGGGGTCAGGATGTTGTTTTGAAAGCTGCATGTAAGCTTGAGTGAGGCGTTCTTTCACTAGTAAAATGACTAACGGCATAACTCCAAGCCAACACCGATCCCTTTTTCATTAGAAATATTACGCTATCGCAGTTTTAGGTGGAAAAAAAGGCAAAACCAAAAAATTACACATGGTATTATTTTCTTTCTGTAACGTAGAGTTTTACCCCAAATTACTCGTTGCCTCCAACACACACAGCCTAAAGATGTTTAAAGGACAGCACCAGTAGTTTGAAATGACAAAACATGCATAACTTACACATAACTTAACTCGCTGACCATTTTTGAAGGCATACAATATATGTTTAGATGTTCGATGTGTTTTCACACAACTCTAGATGGCCAGTGGTTGTTCATCTCTGGAATTACTTTAAAAGCCTGCACTTCACAATAATAACCAAGTTTTGATGGAATTTATTGTGGAATTGATTCGCTGTGATTGATGACAAAATGTCTGCTACATTCACATAAAGAAGATATGTGAAAAAAAAAAATACATGTTGAGAATTGTGTGAAAAAAACACATTTAACTTTTAAAAGTCAAACTGAAATTTCACAAAAGAAAAAAAAAATTAAGAAAATTAAAGAAAATTCTGTACATTTTCTGTAGAAGTTAAATGCATCCATCTGGTGCACTTTAAAAAGCAAATTTAAGAGGCTAGATCAACAAAGAACTTAATGTTCTTGTAAACAACTTTGTGCTCTAGTAATTAATGTAATCACAACACATTGTATAGATATTAATGTTGATGCCACGGCAAAAAGTCCCACCCACAAAGCTCGGTTAACAAGACGGGGTGAAGCTGTGGCTGGCTGGATGTCGGGCTGAAAGTCAGACCGCTCTGATTTAATTTGAAATAGCCTTCACACTGGTTGATTATGATTGGATAAAGGCCCAACATGTTAGACGCATTGTTAAACGCCAGACATTATCGGCTACTTTGGTCACATGTTGCTGTCAGTTTTGACCGCCTGGTGATTAACCATCACCCGATCTAGACCTATAAAAAGTTAACGGAAGCTACACTCCATCTTTTGTATAATGACGAGTGTGCAGGCGCTCAACAATGGCCCTCAGCAGCTTTGGAAAGTGAAGTCAAAGCGTCTTTAGCTTCCGTACTGTGACGTATTTCTAAGTGAAAGACAATATTTGAGCGGTGTACAGTTACAAGCGGAATTTAAATGATATAATTAGCATTTTATTGGACCCCCAAAAGTGGGCGGGTTTAGAATGTAGTGCAATACGGAACTACGGAGGACTGTGGCTCCACACACACCTCCCATGTCGCTAAAAGTTAGAGACTGATTGATTGATGGATGTCATTATTATAATGAAATTAAAATGATCATAACTATAATATGGATTCAATCAAACATTAGGCATCCACTCCATGTCATCTACTGCGCCTGGATGGGAAACGCCCAGTCGGTGTTTCGAGGCTGAGATGCTGTTTCCTCAAATATGCCAAAAAAATCCTGCTTTTAAAATTGATAAACGTGCACAATAACTGCAGCATTACTTTAATTTAGATTTCCTAACACAAAAAGTAAGGAGCATTGAAATGTGAGCTTGACTTTAAATGTGTTTTACGGTAGAGAGGTGAGGTTTGAAGTTAGATAAGCATATTTTAGTTTATTTTTTTCTATAGTCCAAATAAGTAAAATTCTGTCAGGAAATCAGCACATTACCTGTTGTGACCTTAGTTTGGAATATCTTTTGTGTGACATTTCAAGTTGGATGCCACTGAAAGAGAAAAAAAGTTGGATGAAGTTGACACATTGTAGTCTGAACAGTCCAGCTGCAAAAAACAAAAAAAAAGAAAGCGAAGGAAACAGATGGAGAGGGTGAGCTGAGCAGAATAATGCTAAACTTAGAAGGAAATGAGTGCAGTCACATGAGACGCTAGTGTGGGTGAGTGTGAATGAACTCTACTCTTTAAATTGTAATTTTAAAAAAAGTTAGCTGCTGTCTGGTTCATCACCCCTCCTAAACTCATTGACCACCCAGTGTGTGGAACATTCCTTTCCAATCTCCTCTTCACAGCCCGTTATCAGAGTCTATTCTAGACCAGCGTGCACTTTGGCCAGTGGGGTCAGGCCTGCTGTCATTGTCTCATATTTATCACTGGGTCAGATAATGTTGCGTGTAGTTATAAGACTCTGTTTATTGTGGGTGGAGTTTAGAGTGTTGGAGACCAAGGTGTTAGAGGTTGTTTTTTTGGATGTCATGGGACAGCAGGGAGATGAGTTTGCGACAAAGGACGGATTGAGAGACCACAGGGTTGAGAAAGCCTCGGCTGGATACAATGACCCAATACTGGCGAATGAGAGGAGCTGCACACATTCCATACGCAACACATAGATAAATCACTGAGAGGCTTCTTGTTTTGTAGAAGCTATCTGGGCTTAATCAGCGTCATAAAACTTTGAGAGAGGAGTTGATTAAAAACATACTAAAGATAGCAGCACTCCCATAATCTGGATTTCTCATGGCATGCGAGTGTGGTTTTTGTTACCTAACCATTTGACTTAGTGGTACGTCTTTCAGTATTTGAAGCAGTAATACAGTGGATATGTCATTCACAAACCTTCAACGAAGAGCTAAAAGACACATCTAGGGTAGATTGAAGACAACGCCAGACACCCTGACAGAGAAGTCTGGATATTTGCAAGGGGTTCCAATAGATCCACCACTGGAGACACTCCCACTCTCCTGGATCATGACCAAGATAGATAGCTAGGTCAGAAACATACACAGAAAAGCTCATGTTATGCTTGAGCAGAAGGAGTTTGTATGGCGTGTTGTGAGACCACGTCTGAAATCAGAAGACAGTCAAGTTTGAAGGCAGGGTAATAAGGGGACTCTACACAGAAATGGATGGGGTAATTTAAAGGTCCATTGTACAAGATTGGGAGCACTTCGATTGCCTCTCAAACGGCTCCTAGCAAACGTTACTAACAGCGCTAATGGTACAAACTATGACAAACGTGCTGGCAAAGCAAACAGTGTTCACCTGAGGGGGAACCGGAGGTTGGATGATATGCTGTCGGTCGAGACGGCGTTATCAGCCGTGACCGTCATATGAGAGCAGTGCAGAGCGGCGGCCGCGAGCCAGCCAGTGGGGCACACTCACGTGGCTCTGATTACAACACACACAGGGGAGGGATAGTGACTTCATTCTCTGCTCAGGTAGACATTACTCCACTATATCTTTACATAGCAAATGGTTGTTTGCTGCTATATTAAGGCTCTAAATGTCATATATAGCAGTATATTGCATGTACGCTGTATTTCCAATTTGTGGAATCTGAAAAAGTGTATCGTGTTTTATTTTTCAATTTGACACACAGTTTTCATTTGTAATCACATCACGTCAATGAGATCTACTAAGCAACGCAGGCTATACAAACATTAGGAAGTGAGACTATCTCCACGTGAAGACACTTGATCTGTCCGCCATCATCATGCATGTCCAAACATATCCACTAGCAGAGTTGCCAGATTAGATTGTTTTTTTCGCCTAAAAATCAATATATGTCAATTAACTACCCGACCCGTCAAGTGCCAAATTGATGCATTATATTAGCGGACCGAGACGAGGACTGAGCGCTGCGGCTCTGATGCTGATCCTGCTGCAGCTACAACTTGGGAGCTGTCCAGAGTGTGTGTGCGTGTGTGTGTGTGTGTGCGTGTGTGTGTGCGTGTGTGTGTGTGTGTTTGAAAGAGAGAAGGGAAGAGAAGGTGGACTATTGCACGCAATGTTTCTAACATACTCGGGGCGCTGCTTTGTCACTTTTTGACCTGCCCTCCAAAACTCGTGGTATTTTCTTAGTTTCCCAGAACCCACGGGTCGACCCATGGATCACTACTAGCTAAAAAAAAAAAATTATAATTACGGGGCCCATACCTCTTGTTAGGGCTGAGGATAAGATTTGAAAAATGGAGGAGTGTTCCGTTAAATATTGATACATTGAATCTAATTGGCTTACTATGTGCAAATTAAATCTTCCATATATGTAAAGGTGCACTGCCATCCCTGTGGTTCTGTTGCTGTGTAATAGAAGAACCGGATTACATAAACTGTGTGTGTGTTGTCCTTACTGTGGTGGTTGTGTCTGAGCTTCCCTCACCCCTGACCCGATGATGCTTATGTTCAGGCATGCAGGGCCAGACCCCCTCCCAGAAGCATCTCCTCCCTCCTTTCCTTCCGTCCTGCTGGACTGGATGGTGTGTGTTGTGTCTTTCTCTAAGCCGTTAACTTCAGGCAGTGCCCGCCTTCCTCTCTCTGCTCAACTCATAGCAGCTCACTCGTGTATATTGTTTGACAGTATAATGTGCTCATGAGTCTGAGAGTGTTCACACATTCTGCAATCTCTATTAAGGTCCCTTGATGTCTGTGTACATTATTATCATCTGTGAAGTTCAGGGAATTCATTGGTTTTACAGTAGTTCTGCCCAATCACTGTTATATACAAAGACTTAAATGTGGGTTTGGATCAAACTATCACATGCCTTTTCCACCAACATTCAACGAGTTCCGTTACGGTTTGCACACCTAATTTTGAAATGTTATGAGAATTTTGATCAAAAATAAATTTGGAAAAGTTGGTTCCCAGCCGAAACCAAAAAAAAGCAAGTTTTCCTTCCAACTGGTAACATCAGCTGGAAAGAGAGTATGAAGTCTTGCAAGTAATAATCATCTACGTCTTCCTATCATTAATAGTTTGTCTGTGCTTTTTATAAAGCTGAATATCTGTAAAAACTATCCGATCTTGCTATTACTGTTAACATAAAGGGTTATACATAGAACCATCAATGGCATGATGATCAAAAACACTAATATTTCTTTCTTTCCTTTTTCTAGACTACAACCATCCTGAGGCCAAGAGCTTTTCCCACACCCTTGGTTTCAGTTCCAGATCCATGATACACACACCCAGCCACGTCATGTCTGTGAGTACCGCCTGCCACTGCTTTACACTGAAAATATGCAAGAACATATTAACACAACAACTTAAAACTTTACACTTACAGTGTCCTGTAAGGATGGCTCTTTGATATTACTACAATAACTGGTGGATGGTTTAGGTATTATATTCTGTGTGGACTTGTGAGAAGTCATTGTAGTCTCCCAGCCAGAGACTTGTAAGTTTGACTGATGGTTTTCTTTGTGGAGTTTACTCATGCAGTCCAAATATACACAACACAAGCAACCTGGTTTTGAGATTGAACTACCCAAGTTAATTGCTGAGATCTGGTCCGTAGCCAGGATTTAAGAAAATAGTCCTCCCCCCCCTCCCAATGCCCTCAGCTTAATTGTTATGTGTTTGTAGCATTAGGTATCGAAAAATGTCAAGTACTGAATGCATGACTGTCTCTTTGTCACTTTGCTTTATCTCTATACCAGTGCTGAAGAAAGGTCTGGGTGATCCCATCAAAATTCCACATTAAGGAAGAAAACAACGCTCTGGGTTGTTTATATTTCTTCACAGATCACAATCATCTTGGGCGGCGTCTTGTATTTTTGTACTATTCAAGACATTGATCATAAGTGAAGCAGCAGAGCTACACCATTTTGCACGGAAAGCGACCATATTATCAAAGTACGCCAGTAAAAAGTCTAAATATTATCTAAATATGCATACTGTTGTAACTATTAACTTACGTATTTGTCTACTTACTTTACTTTTTCCCAGAGGAGCATAAAGTGAGCAATGGACATACATGGAAGAACACGCTACTAGCTTCTAGCCGACAGCAGGTTGTTTGGGAACAGAGACGTTATTACATACACCATGGCACAGGCTTTACAGCATACAGCCCATGGATGTGCTTATGTACATTATTACAGCCGCACACAGCTAGCAGGAAGCCAGCAGGACCAGATATAAATGTAGTTGTCAAAAAAGCATCAGAGTTTCGTCTCTTTGCCTCTATACTCTTTGGTGCCCTTGTCAAAAGGTAACAAACAGATAAAGTGAGTGGGGGAGAATTCTGTCTGAAAAAAACAGCCCAGTCTACATCCTGGTGAGTCTGACTATCCTGACATGACCTCAGTGATAGCTGTGACCCTGGCTGAGATATGGGAGGGCAGCTGCATCGCTATGTCTGACAGAACACAAGCGGTCAGACTATCAGACACACCCAGGGTAGATAAAATGAGTTGAGAAAAAAAGAAAAAATGACAAAATGAATAACCGTCTGTTGTAAACACCATCCAACAGTTTACAGACTGGTTTAAACTTTGACCTACTGTACTGAGTGCAGGTCTCCTGAAGGGTTTCCTGTGCAAAGAGGGATTCTTAACAACAGTGTATTACCTTCATTTTTATCTCCAAATAAAGTGGTTTACAATCTGGATAAACTGTCAGCTTGTTTACAGTTTACTATGAAATAAGACCAAAGTTGTAATTCGTAATAGTACTTTAACTATAGCTATCTAAAACATTAACATTCCTCTAAAAGAGTAGGATATTGTTCATCACACACACACACACACACACACACACACACACACACACACACACACACACACACACTGGAATACAATGCACCAGTAATGTGTATGAATAACGTTTCCTCTCTGTTCTAATTGTCTAACCCGGCTGACCAAATCCAGAACAATGTAAAGTATACACAGGATGCTGGTCTCTTGGCTTTTAACAGGCCGCTCTCACAATGCAGAGGCAGCAGTGAGCTTCCTGCAGCTTACAGTAGCCAAGCTTTGATGAAGAAGAGAAGGAAGAGCTGTTTACTGTGGAATGTCTCACAACACCTGTGTGCTGTCCTGGACAGTTTCACTAGCCTCAAGCACGGTTTCCTGTAAAAACCTATTAAGGGTGCTAATATAGCAGCAAACTACTATGTGCTACATAAAGGCATAGTGGAGTGATGTCTACCTGAGCAGATGAGGAAGTCGTTCTCCCTCTGTGTGTGTTTTAATCTGAGTTTGTGCTTTGTGTACGCAGCCGGGACCGGCGTGTCAGTCTCTCTGTTGTGCCCCACTAGCTAGCTTACGGCCGCGGCGCTACGCTGTTCTCATGTGGTTACAGCTGATAATGCCGTCCCCACCCTACGGTTCCCCCCTCAGGTTAACAGTGTTAGCTCTGTCACCACTGTTGCCGTAGTTAGCACCGTTAGCTGCTAGCTGCTCAGCCTTGTCCACGTTTAGAGCCGTGTGGAGGCAGTAGATATTCTCCGTATTCCATATTGAGCACCTTTAAGAAAAGAAAATACTAGTGGTACATTTTTTTCTTCTTGTTTGTACTGTGAAAGCTTCTCTATACTACTTTTTGCAGTACAGGGGAAGTTATATGCCAATTTGTCTTTTTATATCAGAAATTCGGGGAAAAAGGTATTCATCTTTCCCTGCTGCAGTGTGTCTGCTAACCCTTTTATTTCCACCTTGCAGAAGCCCACAGTACCACTTCGCTCCTCTGGTTTCTCCTCTCGCTCTGCTGTGGAAACCAGTTCCAAGGCGGGCCATAAACAAACCAGCATGGTCCAGAGCAGCTTCCAGTCCTCCCACCAGTCACACAGCAGAAACAGACTCACCAAGTCACTGTGCCAAGCAGACCAGGAGGCACTTCCTATCACTGTGTTGCCTCCTCCAGAGAACGCCTCCTACGTGATCACTGTGCCTCCCCTCGGCTCCCTAAGGCGCAGCCTCAGCGGGACACTGGCCCAGGAAAGAGGCTACTGGCAGGAGGAGGAGCAGCCGTGTCAGTACACCTATAAGGGCCCCTCCCATCGCACCATCAGTCGCATCACCAACCGACAGCAGCACTACCAGCAGCAGCAGCAGGGCTCTGCCTTCGGCCAGGAGGGCTGGGTGGGGACCGGCAGGGGGGTCCCCATGGCAGGGGACGGCTGGGGGACACAGTGGCAGCAGCACGTGTCCAGGGCCAGCCACGGCATGGGGACAGGGCAGTGCCAGGCCACCCTCCACCGGGCCGCCTCACTCCGCAGTTTGAGGAGCGTCGGGAAAGGAGTGGATATCTTGGACGGAGCATCGATACACAGCAATGACCCACTGGAAGGGTGAGGCCCATTATTCATTCATTTACCTGGGTAAACATCTGGGCTACCTCTGGCTCGGGTCGTCCTGTCAAATGTATGTATGCTGTTTCCACAGACTGTTACCATGCAGAGGTGGTGACAGGCTGAAGGAGTCTCACTCCATTATGACATTTTGAAAAAACGTTTATGTTTATCTGATTTATTTTATGGACAAAATTATGAGTTGATAATTGGAAAGATATAATCAACAGATTAATCAATGCTGAAAATGATCATACAACTTATTACGTGTATGTTTGTGTGTGTGTGTGTGTGTGTGTGTGTGTGTGTGCAGTATGCTGGGTCTGGACATGGCTACAGCTGTCAGATATCTGTCCGAGTCAGATGCTGCCTTGCAAGTTCTGGGAGCTGCATACATACAACACAAGTGTTACCATTGCAACGAAGCCAAAAACCAGGTAACACGGTTGCACGTTGACGCGTTTGGTCATATTTCCCTCACTTGCTGCAATTTATTTATGTGTTTAATTGTCCGTTTGCTCTTTTTTCATTTAGTCTGCCTGGTGTCCATTACCAGCACCTCATCTCCATATGTGTGTATTTGGTGTGTATTGTTCCTGATGCTCTCTCTCTCTCTCTCTCTCTCTCTCTCTCTCTCTCTCTCTCTCTC